TATATTCACCATATATTCACCATATATTCACCATATATTCACCATATATTCACCATATCAACCTATATTTTTTCAGAGCATTTTAGAGAGACATGTCAGCAGACCCGATCATGGGCCATTCCTCACCAGGCCGTGTGCTGTGGCTCGGTTTCTGCGGTGCAGCTACTGCTGGCCTTCCGGGCGGACCTAGCGAGGAGAATGGGGACAAAGTTGGAGATGTTACATGGGTACTATGATATTTTTATGTGTATATACTATATAATAATGAAATATAATTGATATAATTAAATATGATTATATATAGCAATATAGAATAATATAGACTATAATGATATAATGCATTATATATATATATATTATTGAATATGTATTGCATATTATATTTTTCATGGGATACAATGGGCTATATATATATATATACATCCTAGCACCTCAGGGAGAGCGGAAGATATATCCATGGGATGACCATCCCCCAAACGTACCTGGGGTGTTGGGAGCAACTCTGATTCAGACATGTTTTGTGTGGGAAAATGATGATATAAGTTGTAGAGCGAGCAGGAATTGGATTCAGTGGAGATAGAACTTTGATTAATGGGATATATGATATACGGTGTGTATATATATGCACCAGGCCCTGCCACCCCCCCCCTCCCCCCCCCCCACATGGGATGGGTCCCAGATACTGGCCCCATATGAGATCTTCCCCCTCCCCCCCCTGTGGTGTGGTGGGGGTGTGGTATGGTATGTTGGGTATGTATGGTGTGTATGGTCGGTCTGGTATGGCATGTTTGGAAAGTATGGTATGTTTGGTATGTATGGTAGGTATGGTATATATGGCATGAGTGGTTGGTATTGTATGGATGGTAGGTATGGTATGTAAGTCTGTTGGGTATGGTATGTTTGATATGACAGTATGTATGGTCTGTATGGTATGTATGATTACTATTATGGGTATGGGATATTTCTTATGTAGGTAGGTACGGTATGTATGGCATGTATGTTTGCTATTGTATGTATGGTAGGTGTGGTAATTACATTTCATATGTATGGTATGTACGGTATGTATGGTATGCATGGTATGTATGGTACGTATGATAGATATGATAGGTATGGTATGCATGGCATCATTGACATGTATGGTAGGTACGGTATATGTTAAACACAGGTAGTGTTGTCAGAGAACACAGGTAGTAAGTAGGAAGTAGATACAGTAGATGCATAGCACATGTATATATGACTATAGGTAGCACGTAGATACTTTGAAGGAGTATGTGTGCTACGCAGGTCGCCTAAAAGGTAGCATGTACCTAGTAAATGCGCGGCTGGTAGTCAGAAATGATGCAAAGACCTAGCAAATACGAAGCTGGACCTCAGAAATGCTGCCAATAGCTTGCAAATAGAAGGGAAGGGGGGTGCTACCTGGGGACCCAGCACTGTCCCCCTCCCCCCCTGTGGCGTGGTGGGGGTGTGGTACTGTCCCCCTCCCCCCCCTGTGGTGTGGTGGGGGTGTGGTATGGTATGTTGTGTATGTATGGTGTGTGTGGTCGGTCTGGTATGGCATGTTTGGAAAGTATGGTATGTTTGGTATGTATGGTAGGTATGGTATGTATGGCATGAGTGGTTGGTATTGTATGGATGGTAGGTATGGTATGTAAGTCTGTTGGGTATGGTATGTTTGATATGACAGTATGTATGGTCTGTATGGTATGTATTGTTACTATGATGGGTATGGAAGATTTCCTATGTAAGGTAGGTATGGTATGTATGGCATGTATGTTTGCTATTGTATGTATGGTAGGTGTGGTAATTACATTTCATGTGTATGGTATGTATGGTATGTATGGTATGTATGATAGATATGATAGATATGATAGGTATGGTATGCATGGCATCATTGACATGTATGGTAGGTACGGTATATGTTAAACACAGGTAGTGTTGTCAGAGACACAGGTAGTAAGTAGGAAGTAGATACAGTAGATGCATAGCACATGTATATATGACTATAGGTAGCACGTAGGTACTTTGAAGGAGTATGTGTGCTACGTAGGTCGCCTAAAAGGTAGCATGTACCTAGTAAATGCGAGGCTGGTAGTCAGAAATGCTGCAAAGACCTAGCAAATACGAAGCTGGACCTCAGAAATGCTGCCAATAGCTTGCAAATAGAAGGGAATTGGGGCTGCTACCTGGGGACCCAGCACTGTCCCCCTCCCCCCCTGTGGCGTGGTGGGGGTGTGGTACTGTCCCCCTCCCCCCCTGTGGTGTGGTGGGGGTGTGGTATGGTATGTTGTGTATGTATGGTATGGTGTGTGGTCGGTCTGGTATGGCATGTTTGGAAAGTATGGTATGTTTGGTATGTATGGTAGGTATGGTATGTATGGCATGAGTGGTTGGTATTGTATGGATGGTAGGTATGGTATGTAAGTCTGTTGGGTATGGTATGTTTGATATGACAGTATGTATGGTCTGTATGGTATGTATGATTACTATGATGGGTATGGAATATTTCCTATGTAAGTCAGGTATGGTATGTATGGCATGTATGTTTGCTATTGTATGTATGGTAGGTGTGGTAATTACATTTCATATGTATGGTATGTGTGGTATGTATGATAGATATGATAGATATGATAGGTATGGTATGCATGGCATCATTGACATGTATGGTAGGTACGGTATATGTTAAACACAGGTAGTGTTGTCAGAGTACACAGGTAGTAAGTAGGAAGTAGATACAGTAGATACAGTAGATGCATAGCACATGTATATATGACTATAGGTAGCACGTAGGTACTTTGAAGGAGTATGTGTGCTACGCAGGTCGCCTAAAAGGTAGCATGTACCTAGTAAATGCGAGGCTGGTAGTCAGAAATGCTGCAAAGACCTAGCAAATACGACGCTGGACCTCAGAAATGCTGCCAATAGCTTGCAAATAGAAGGGAATTGGGGCTACTACCTGGGGACCCAACCCATGGGGGGGGGGGGTGGAGAGACGGAGGACGGGACCATATATATATATATATATATACTGTATATACCCTCTGGTAAACTAACATAACTATGGAAAATCACCATTTTTTAATGGATACATCAACTATAAATGACAATTTTCAATAGCTATGTTTGTTTACCAGAGGCTATAGCCAACAATATGAGATGTGGGGCCTTTGTGAAAATGGGTGATATCCCCAAGTTATGGCAATCCAATAGGGAAAATGCTGATGAACCACTGGATTTGTTACTGGTACCTGGCTTTTGCAGACAAACATACCCTCTGGTAATTTAACATAGCTATTGAAGATGACCATTTATATTGGATTTTCCCATGAGAAATGGTGATTTTCCATAGTTATGTTAGTTTACCAGAGGGTATGCCAAAGGTGTTTTCCTTCACATTACAAACCACAAGGAAAAACAACCATTTTGGGGGATTCAACTGATAGTATTGTAGTAGGATAGTAACAATTACCGATGCTGGATAACGTATACATATATATATATATACACATTATAATTCAATGGTCCATATTCTGCTAAAGTGTACATAATACTTCATATCACATAGTAGAACGGTAAGCCAAATATGATTATATATATATATATACTGATGAAATATGTTGTTATATATACTTATATATATACCACATAATCATTTGGGTATTCAAGATGGGATGATTATAAGCATATGCAGTTGGCCAACCAAAACATGTACATGCTTGCGGGTCAAAGTTAAAACCCAACGGCATATTTATGGTGTTTTTGTTCCAAATTAGGTGTGCCCAATTGACCATACCCCTGCAATGGTGTGATGGTATGTAACCTACAAGAATGGATTCATTGTACCAGAATGTACCAAATAGAAATGGACATAAGTTCAATACTCCCCTAGAAATCGTGCTTAAGGACTGGATCGAATTTATTTTTCTGCACTTGGGAGGTGTAATGACTAGGAGGATATTTGACCTGCTCAAACAATAATGAGTAGCTGGGATTTGATCATCTGCAAATGGGTAGTTTAAGATGGTTCAACCTGCAGAAGTGGTTGTGTAACTTCAAACATGATCCGGATGTATCCGGATATAGAAGCGGTTCATATTTTGCATGCGAGCAACGTTTGTTGGACTTGCTGAATACACACGAGCAACTGACTGGGATGCACGTCCATGTGCTGATGGTCAGTCATGGCAGTTAGACTACTCGACATTGAACTATGGTATATATACATATACATAATTATTAATTTATATATATATGTATATACAAATACAGTAAGTGACAAAACAAGGGAACACGATCTATGAAATGGGCATGCAAACGAGAAATTGAGCAATGGTAGGTTGCTGGTGATGATACAGTTGGGGTCATACCAGGCTCACCAAGGACATATGATAATCTATTCTGAAACAACTGGTCTCCCCGAAAAACCCATCATGTCATGATGTTTGAGGGTGTTGAGATTGAGAACCTCAAAAAGTACCGTATGGAATAGCTGCGGGTGTGCCTGAAAATGGTATTTGTTGCGCCAAGCTAGCGCATGTTGACGAGGAAATTATATAATGAATAATTAATCTACTGATTTAGGGATGTCCTACTTTCAGACAAACCCACATGCTGATTTGATGCTCCAAACATGTCATTTCATCATTTGCCAACAACATGTTCTGGGAAGCAATTTCTCATCCCTGGCAAGTCTTCAAGTGCCTGTTTTTTTATTAGCTCGTAATGTTAGGAAGACTGTGAGATTATCATTTGAGACAAGCTTCAGAAACAATTGCCATATTGCTCACGGCTTCAAAAGATCACAAGCAATATTGTTAAACATTGCAAGGGAAGCCTTCTACTACCGTGTCAAACAATATGTTCTAAACATTGCTCCGGAGAGAATAACATGAAGGCAGTGCAATAGGGCGTTTCCCACATCGATTTCTTCCCATGTCTCACATGGAACTGTGTCCAATAGCACCTGCAAGCAGCAAGACTTTCAGCACCAATCACACGCTTTGCTGACGTTTCCGTCATGGCTGCATACGAGGGTTTTCTGACTAGTATCTATGCAGGCAAAGATATTTTCAGGCCCACCTTCTTTGAGCTTATCGCGCAGGAACAGCTTTCTGAGGTCAGTGGTGAAAGTTGTTCCATGAGATTCAGATGGGGAAATTCGAAGATAACTTGCAACAAGTTGTTGGGATATCATAGCCCCCAGTATCCCCCAGGATCACCTTAAAATCATGGGGATTGAACTAGCCCCCAACCTTTGCTTAGCTTGTTGAAACCAAGCCCACCACCCAGAGAGGTCTTTCGACCAGCTGTGCGCTTCATCGTTGATATCTGGAGACAACGGCTCTCCTCACCAGTTCTCTTGCGACTTTTGGACTCCTGGGACTCCTTCTACACACTGTTTCTACTGGCGTTGGAAGGCGGCGTTGTGTTACGTCACCGGGACATACTGACCAATCAACAAAAAACAACAAAGCGCTTCTTTGCTGACAAAGCAAACCCTGAAGTTGGGATTATTGATCAGGATACATCCATCATAATTTGAGATATCATCCCACTTATGAATCATCATCATATATCATCATATATCATATGTTACACATATTAGTATTTCTATAAACACTTAGAGGTTTATCAATTTATCATGGCATGTATCCAGTTCCCATAGAATCCCCAACCAAAAAGCTAGCCATCTCGCAAGAGGCTACCATTTGCGCCTTCACGGCGCCACCTTCTCCGAGCACTTCTTCGGCCTTCGCCGCGTCCCGCGGCGGCCGCGCGTGTCGTCGCCCCTGGAGGCGCTGCAGGCGGCGCGACGCGGCGAAAAGGCGGCACCCTTGAGGCCCTGGCAGCAGCTGGCGTCGTTGATGATGCAGGTGGGAGGCCCCAAACACGGAGGATAACCAATATTTATCATGCCTGTATTGTATATGTATATTATATATATATATATTTATTTATATGATGTAATGCAATGATTTTCTACTGTATATTTATCATTATTTATCTATACAAATTATATTATATATGTATATAGATGTATTTGTATATCAACAAACAAAGTGAAGATGACTTAGGCTGAAACAAAATAAGAGTGTTCAACAGTGCAATGTTTTGATTGGACAACTCTTGAAAACTGCGTTGGAAACCTTGTCACAGTCCCATTCCACTAATTGTTCTCCAAGGTTAACGGATAGTTTTCAATAATATGTCCAGGGTTATGTATGTATGTTGGAAAATCCCATGGTCACTAGGGGAATATACCCACTCCACTCCCAACTCTGTACGGATATTTGCATACATTGGTGATTTTGGAGGTCAATTCAGGCCAATTAATCCCCAATGATCAATGGATGATCTGGGTTCTGGGGGTTAATTCAGATTCCCCGTTCTTTGAAGGTTGTGATGCCCTGGATCTTCAGCCGCTGCCAAGAGAGATGGAGAAGAATGGAAAGGGACATGGATGGAGGAAGGGCGAATGACATATTTTTTCATGGCTATCCAGTGGTACCTGGCTTGATGGTTCTAAGTTTGATTCATTTTTGTTGTGTGTTTCACCCAAGGTTCTTGTATGCTTTTCGATGATGCTCCCAGTTCACAGGCCATTGTTTTTTTCTAAAGTGGCTGGGCCTCCCACCAGGTACATGCAGTCAAGTCGCTGGCCGTCTTCGCCTACAGTTTGCTGTATTTGCTGGAACAGACGGACATTTGGTCGCCCTGGCTACATCTGTTGGGCCTGAAGCTGGCACGCCACTTTCCAGAGCCACCTTTGCCATCGGAGGAGAAGGACCAAGTCAAGAGTCTTGCAATACGCAGCTGGTGTGAACTGGGGGATGTTTTTTTGGCTCCCTCTTTGTTATTCATAATATCATAATTGTGGTGGATGAGATTGATGAGGTCTATATAATATTACATGATTATTCAATATTATTAATATATTAATATATTGTGTAAATGATTTACATATTGATTGAGAAGTTTATTCTCCATGTGCGAGATGTGTTTTACAGAGGGCATGATGTCCACAACACTTCTTTGATGTTGACTACAATGACGATGACTCCACCATGATATTGAGAAAATTGAGAAAATGTCCTTGTCGCGTCAGCTCCTCATTGTCTTAAAGCTATTTCAAGAACAGCCAGGCATGCAAGACTTGGCCAAGTTCTGTGGAAGAGCATCCCTGTGGGGAACCGTGTATGCCCTCCAGTTCCTCCAGTGGTGGTATCAACGAGAGCATCTCCTTCAGCCCCTCCGTCCGCACAAAGCTCCACCACCTCCTCCCCAACGATTTCCCTACCCTGAAAGTCTTCCCACTACAAGCGCTCGTGGTGCACCGAAAGTGGTGGTCTTGCCGGAAGATCGAACCATTTGCCCATTGTGCCACCGACCGCGGCAGAATCCGGCCATGTCATGTGGAGGATATGCCTTTTGCTACACCTGTTTGGTGCCACACGTGCAAGAGTTTGGGCACTGTCCCGTCACAGGACAGCGGATGAGGGTTGAAGAGATTCGACGCATCCGTGACGAGGGATGACGGGGTCATATCTTCGTGCAGTGCGACCAAGACGAAGCTGACAGAGGTCGAGGGTGATATCACCCACCTAGCGATTCATGTGTCAGGTGGATATCTTCATGTATTCATTTAAAATCTGGCGGCCCTGGCGTTGAACATGCAGATCTCGCTTCTGTCGCGCAGGGAAAAGACTGAGATGTCAGCCAAAGCAGACATCAGCAGCTGAAAAGGCTGCGAGTGCTGAGAGCATGGCAGCTTGGAGTGAGAGAAAGAATGTCTGAGTGCCAGCAGGGGTTGTTTGATGAGACGCAAAGACTCCCCATGGACTCTAAATATACGTACAGCACGACACGACTAGGTGACTAGGTACTGGTACTGCAAGCTACTGCAATATACTCCAACGATTTTATACGATTTTCATGTTTCACAGGTGTGCTTGGTTTCTGACCCATGAGCATTGTACATCGCTTTGTGTTGCGGTTTCGGATCTTTTGCAATCGATCAACGGCACGAGAGCTGGTTTGAACATTTTGAACTGGATCCCAAGCTTGGGCATGGGAAACAACTCTACCACATGTCTATGCAGTTTCTATGTACTCTTAGAATGCATTTGTTTGTGGAATAGTGTATTATATATGTGTTTATATTGCAAATACTCTGATCCTGTCTTGATCCCCTTACATTAAACACCACCATTCTATGATGCGAATCTCTACTATTGCGGACGATGGATCATAATATTGGTGACCCTTCACATCATCGCCATGATGATGTGACGGCTCCAAAATGACCCAATAGATGGTCTCATATGACCCAAGCATGGCCCAACAATGCCCAACATCTATGAAACTTGACATGTGGATGGTGAAATAAATCATATGGAGACACATTGTAGGATATTGTAGGCTTTATATGGCTTTCTTATACACTTATACACTAAAGATAGCCTCTGGTAAACTAACATAGCTATTGGGAATGGCCATTTATAGTTGATTTACATATTAAAGATGGTGTGATGTTCCAGTTCGCTATGTTCAATTCCCAGAGGGTAGCTGAAGATGCTGATGAATGACTCGGGTGAAGCCACTCGCTTGATTCGCCGACCCCCCAGGACTACCCGCGGCGGGCTGACAGCGTATGACTTCCTGCAGGGATCGTTCCATCCTCAGAGTTTCTTGCAGGGATCGGTGGTAGGTCATTGAAAGATGGATCAAAACCAATGTAATATATTTAGAATATTAAGTCATGATGTACAATATTGATAGTATAATCTATACATTATACTGACTAAATATTTATAATCTATACATTATACTGACTATATTTATTTATTGATTCATTTATTTATTTATTTATTATTATCATTATTATATTGTATAGATCAGCATAAATCATGATACAGTTTCAGTGTGAGAGGTGAACATCCAGCTGCACCAGAAACCCGGCGCTGAGGCCTTTGTTGAAAGATTTGCTGGAAGCGAAAGCAGAGGAGCACTGTCGGGAAGCGAAACCAGTGGTTTGATGATTTGATGAGATGATTCTCATAATGAAAATTGCATGATGATTTGATATGTTCATATATTTTCTATATATATAATATATATCTAGATATATCTATCATGGTATATTGAATGATGATTTGGATATATTTGGATATGATTTATGATGATGAACTTGAGGATGCAAAAGGTCGACTTGATATGAACCGTGGTCCAAATACCATGCACGAAGATACACGCTTGGGGATGTTTGCCAAACTATTTCGATTTGCTAAATGCACTCAGTCTGCATGAGAACCGGCCTAAAGGTTCAATATGTTCAACGGAGGAGCCTGGAGTTGCTTTTTCAGAGCTATGATCTATTGACTTGGTTTGGTTGTTTTCCTGGAATAATGTATAATTTAAACATCAAAACGCTGGAGACAAAATGGACGCTGTTGTTGTCAAAGTGTGACTGAATGAGCTCACTCTGCTTCAGGAACAGCCCAAAACTGCAATGGAGGAGGCTGGAGTCGCTTTGTTGGATTCATGCACATGTTTTGATCATTGTCCTGGATCCTTGAAAGATAATGCAAGATCAGGAAACTATCATCCACTGGCGGCATGTTGGAGACATTTGGCGAGTAGTTTTCAATGCCACTGAATTGAGTGTATGCGGCAAGCGCTCATTTTGAAACAGGAACATCCCAAAGCTTCACTGGAGGAGGCTGCGGTTGTTTTCTGGGGGCTTGTCACCCGAGTTTGCATGCTCTTCATGCGACATCACTGCATCAACATTCTCTGGAGACAATGTGCGGGTCCTGTTGTTTTTGGAGGGAAGTGTGATGCGCTATCATGCGCTCACTCACTCTGCAGGAACAGCCCACAGCTGCCATGGAGGAGGCTGGAGCTGCTGTGTGGGGGCCTTTTTTCTGCTTTGATGATTGTCCTTGATCCTTGAAAGATCATGTGGTCTCTGGAAATCAACATTGATTCGTTTTTGTTGATTAGTTTTTGAACTGATTGCATGCGGTAAACGCTCATTTTGAAACAGGAACGGCCCAAAGCTTCACTGGAGGAGGCTTCAGTTGTTTTCTGGGGGCTTGTCACCCGAGTTTGCATGCTCTTCATGCGACATCACTGCATCAACATTCTCTGGAGACAAAGTTGTTTTTATTGTATCTAAATGCACTCAGTCTGCATGAGCACCAGCCTAAAGGTTCAATATGTTCAACGGAGGAGCCTGGAGTTGCTTTTTCAGAGCTATGATCTATTGACTTGGTTTGGTTGTTTTCCTGGAATAATGTATAATTTAAAGTAGGCATCAAAACACTGGAGACAAAATGGACGCTGTTGTTGTCAAAGTGTGACTGAATGAGCTCACTCTGCTTCAGGAACAGCCCAAAACTGCAATGGAGGAGGCTGGAGTCGCTTTGTTGGATTCATGCACATGTTTTGATCATTGTCCTGGATCCTTGAAAGATCATGCAAGATCAGGAAACTATCATCCACTGGCGGCATGTTGGAGACATTTGGCGAGTAGTTTCCAACGCCATTGAACTGATTAAACGCAGCAAGCGCTCATTTGGAAACAGGAACATCCCAAAGCTTCACTGGAGGAGGCTGCGGTTGTTTTCTGGGGGCTTGTCACCCGGGTTTGCATGCTCTTCATGCGACATCACTGCATCAACATTCTCTGGAGACAAAGTTGTTTTTATTGTATCTAAATGCACTCAGTCTGCATGAGCACCAGCCTAAAGGTTCAATATGTTCAACGGAGGAGCCTGGAGTTGCTTTTTCAGAGCTATGATCTATTGACTTGGTTTGGTTGTTTTCCTGGAATAATGTATAATTTAAAGTAGGCATCAAAACACTGGAGACAAAATGGACGCTGTTGTTGTCAAAGTGTGACTGAATGAGCTCACTCTGCTTCAGGAACAGCCCAAAACTGCAATGGAGGAGGCTGGAGTCGCTTTGTTGGATTCATGTACATGTTTTGATCATTGTCCTGGATCCTTGAAAGATAATGCAAGATCAGGAAACTATCATCCACTGGCGGCATGTTGGAGACATTTGGCGAGTAGTTTTCAATGCCACTGAATTGAGTGTATGCGGCAAGCGCTCATTTTGAAACAGGAACATCCCAAAGCTTCACTGGAGGAGGCTGCGGTTGTTTTCTGGGGGCTTGTCACCCGGGTTTGCATGCTCTTCATGCGACATCACTGCATCAACATTCTCCGGAGACAATGTGTGGGTGCTGTTGTTTTTGGAGGGAAGTGTGATGCGCTATCATGCGCTCACTCTGCAGGAACAGCCCACAGCTGCCATGGAGGAGGCTGGAGCTGCTGTTTGGGGGTCTTTTTTCTGCTTTGATTATTGTCCTTGATCCTTGAAAGATCATGTGGTCTCTGGAAATCAACATTGATTCGTTTTTGTTGATTAGTTTTTGAACTGATTGCATGCGGTAAACGCCCATTTTGAAACAGGAACAGCCCAAAGCTTCACTGGAGGAGGCTTCAGTTGTTTTCTGGGGGCTTGTCACCGGAGTTTGCATGCTCTTCATGCGACATCACTGCATCAACATTCTCTGGAGACAAAGTTGTTTTTATTGTATCTAAATGCACTCAGTCTGCATGAGCACCAGCCTAAAGGTTCAATATGTTCAACGGAGGAGCCTGGAGTTGCTTTTTTAGAGCTATGATCTATTGACTTGGTTTGGTTGTTATCCTGGAATAATGTATAATTTAAAGTAGGCATCAAAACACTGGAGACAAAATGGACGCTGTTGTTGTCAAAGTGTGACTGAATGAGCTCACTCTGCTTCAGGAACAGCCCAAAACTGCAATGGAGGAGGCTGGAGTCGCTTTGTTGGATTCATGTACATGTTATGATCATTGTCCTGGATCCTTGAAAGATAATGCAAGATCTGGAAACTATCATCCACTGGCGACATGTTGGAGACATTTGGCGAGTAGTTTCCAACGCCATTGAACTGATTAAACGCAGCAAGCGCTCACTTTGAAGCAGGAACATCCCAAAGCTTCACTGGAGGAGGCTGCGGTTGTTTTCTGGGGGCTTGTCACCCGGGTTTGCATGCTCTTCATGCGACATCACCGCATCAACATTCTCTGGAGACAATGTGTGGGTGCTGTTGTTTTTGGAGGGAAGTGTGATGCGCTATCATGCGCTCACTCTGCAGGAACAGCCCACAGCTGCCATGGAGGAGGCTGGAGCTGCTGTTTGGGGGCCTTTTTTCTGCTTTGATTATTGTCCTTGATCCTTGAAAGATCATGTGGTCTCTGGAAATAAACATTGATTCGTTTTTGTTGATTAGTTTTTGAACTGATTGCATGCGGTAAACGCTCATTTTGAAACAGGAACAGCCCAAAGCTTCACTGGAGGAGGCTGCGGTTGTTTTCTGGGGGCTTGTCACCCGAGTTTGCATGCTCTTCATGCGACATCAGCGCATCTACATTCTCTGGAGACAAAGTTGTTTTTATTGTATCTAGATGCACTCAGTCTGCATGAGAACCGGCCTAAAGGTTCAATATGTTCAACGCAGGAGCCTGGAGTTGCTTTTTCAGAGCTATGATCTATTGACTTGGTTTGGTTGTTATCCTGGAACAATGTATAATTTAAAGTAGGCATCAAAACATTGGAGACAAAATGGACGCTGTTGTTGTCAAAGTGTGACTGAATGAGCTCACTCTGCTTCAGGAACAGCCCAAAACTGCAATGGAGGAGGCTGGAGTCGCTTTGTTGGATTCATGTACATGTTATGATCATTGTCCTGGATCCTTGAAAGATAATGCAAGATCTGGAAACTATCATCCACTGGCGGCATGTTGGAGACATGTTGGAGACGTTTGGCGAGTAGTTTCCAACGCCATTGAACTGATTAAACGCAGCAAGCGCTCACTTTGAAGCAGGAACATCCCAAAGCTTCACTGGAGGAGGCTGCGGTTGTTTTCTGGGGGCTTGTCACCCGGGTTTGCATGCTCTTCATGCGACATCACTGCATCAATATTCTCCGGAGACAATGTGCGGGTCCTGTTGTTTTTGGAGGGGAGTGTGATGCGCTATCATGCGCTCACTCTGCAGGAACAGCCCACAGCTGCCATGGAGGAGGCTGGAGTTGCTGTGTTAGAGCCATTGACATGGTTTATGTTGAAGATGTTCCTTCAAATATCTAAGCAGCAACATTTACTCGAGACAATGTGCGTGCTGATGTTTTTTTTTATATTATATTCTAGCTTGTGGCCGAATGCGCTCATTCTGCAGCAGGAATGCAAAACTTTAACGGAGGAGGCTGGAGTTGCCTGGAAACTAATGGTGACTGAAGACATGTTGAAGACATTTTGCCCCTGCTTTCCAAAGCGCTTCGTTCATTTTGTAGCAGGAGCAGCCCAGAGCCGTAATAGAGGAGGCTGCAGCTGCAGTTGTTTTCTTGGGCCTGTCACCTGCGCTATCACTACATCAACATTCACCGGAGACAATGCGCTTGCTGTTGTATTTGAAATGTGATTGCACGCATTCACTCTGCAGGAACAGCCCAAAGCTTCTCTGGATGACGATGGAGTTGCTTTCTCAGAGTGGTTTTTCAGCCATCCTCATGTTTTGCTTCTAATCTGGGGAATATTTCGGCATGAATATTTATAGCAGCTAGCGTCAGAAAAAATTAAGTGCATGGGGTGCGCACGCCCTGTTTTCTGGCGGGAACAGCCTGAAATTCTTCAATGCTTGGGTCAGTCAGCAGTCCACAGTATATAGATTCGTCGTTTTTTTGATTATGCTGGAAGATAGGCCGCGTAGAAGCACATGGTTTTTTGCGGCTTTAAGTTTCTTTGAAGTGGTAGAAGTGCAAGCGATTTCTGAACTGCAAGGATAATGCCAGTATACATTGCGGAGGCATGCGAAGGCAACATCTAGATAGATAATGATGAATAAATGCATTATCCATGTCCCAATTTACACCTACAATGATGATCAATGATGCACACTCACCTGTGTAATAATAATGATAATAATGATAATAATAATATAATAATATAATATATATATACATACGTATATTTGTATAGGTTTAAACAATTCTAAAAATGTCTATCTATTTCTATATGTTGTCATAGACATACTGTGGATGGAAGAAATCCTGTACCACTTGGTACAAGTAGATGGTTTATCCTATTATAATCGAATCCCATTCTTTGCAGTGTTCCATAACTACCACTAGTTACCAACTGGTGCAGGAACTCTTCCATCCACAGTAGATAGACGCACACTTAGTTGGCCACGGGGACCAAGGACAAGTCGCAGTGTCCTGAACTGGCTGAGTTGTGGCTGACCGTTCGCAGCTCGCAACCCTTGCAGCTGCGAAGACTTATCAAGGTGCCCTGAAATGAGTATTACACGGGATTAATGGGATTTAATGGGATATTGGTTGTTGCATCTAATGAGATTTAATGGGAGAATTAACCAAGCATATAAAGGAATATGTGATAACATTTGGACAAACTACGACGACCTCACGGCAAAGTCACTGGATTTAGGTCCCAAGAAATGGATGAATTGGTGTCACGCTCTGTATTTTGGAGTAAAAAGCCGGGGGTTCCATGTCTACCTATCTATCTATCCATCTATCTACTCATCTATCCTCTCATCCATCCATCCATCCATCCATGTATCTATCTATCTATCGATCGATCGATCGATCTATCTATCTATCTATCTGTTTATCTATTTGTTTGTCTACCAATCTGTTTATTCTGTATGTTTGTCTGTCTATCTATCTACTAGGTATCTATCTAGTTCTTCATTATTTCATTCGTCCTTCGTTCGTGCTTTCTTTCTACACATAGTATATACAAGAGGGTGGTTTGGAACTTGTTTTTCCCATATATTGGGAATTTCATAATCTCAACTGACGAACTCATATTTTTCAGAGGGCTAGGTCAACCACCAACCAGAAATGGATCTTCCATGATTTTCCATGAAATACCCTCTGGTAATTTAACAGTTTGCTATTGAAAATGGCCCATAGAAATAGTTGATTTACCTCTTAAACATTGGTGATTTTCCATAGTTATGTTAGTTTACTAGTGATTTTTCATGATTTTCCACCTATTAAACTTGGAAATCTGTGGAAATCTGTACGCCATCCTTTCAGGCCTTGCCGGACAAGTCCGTGGCATGGACCTTGCAAGACGAGGATGGAATGAGTCTGATGTGACGACCTTAGAGACAACGGGGAAATCCCGCAATTTAGAGTTGTTTTTTCCCGTTAATACCCATTAAAACCTCCATTTATTTCTAACACCAGATTTTCTGCGTAAAGAAAATGCTTTGCAAATTGTTGTTGATTCCAAACCCGGTGTTTACAATTATGAATCATAATATAGAAACATTTATACCCATTAAAAGCCATTAAAACCTCCATTTATAGGGGATGTTCAAGGATTTTCTATATGATATGTCCATCCACAGTCATTTACAGATTATTTAGACAACATTTGAATTCTTGAGCGTCGAGATTTTGCATTACTGCCATGTTTGAAACAGAAGGTACGGATTATCCAAAAAAAACTGAAAAAGTTCAATGGAATTCAGTATTTCGAGATTGGAATTGTTGACCTTCTATTTTCCTTGGGGGGGTGCTATATACATCCAGACAATATGAACACTAATCATTTCTGTCGGCCTACATGAATTGTTCTATTCAAGGTATCTGGATGTGTGCAACTCCCAAACTTTTCTGGGGAAACTTTGTGCAGGCCTGTTGAACTTGTGTGCTCTTGGCCAATGCCCGACATTTATATGGATCTCATTGATTCAGATTTGATTGCCTCTTGTCGGAATGCTGGTAATTCAATATTAAACTGATTATATACGTATATGCTAATCATTGCTAGTCTACAGTGTGTGTTTTGAACAATGTCATTCAATGTCATTCATTTATACATGTTGATTACCATGATTTTGAACTGTCGAATCCATACAAGGTAGTGCCACCTAGGTATCAGTTGGTTTACAACCGTAGGTAACTAGTTCGATATATCTACCAACAAAAACAACATTTATTGGAGTTACACACCAACTTAGCATACTTAAATCAAGTATGAATCGACAGTTCGACAGTTTCTTGCTTAAATCCCATGCCAATCCCATTAAATCACCATCTTTGTGGGTGAATTCCAATTAAATCATATTAAATCACTATTTTGGTTGGTTAAATCAGTTAAATCCCATTGAAATTCACCTTTTTCGTGGGTTTCATGCTGGTTTTCCCCCTTTTTTCCGGTGCCGGGAATGACCGCTTTCCAGGCACCGGGCGGTGTGGACCGTCCCCAACGACCGGGTCTTCGCCGTGGTGGCCCTGCTCTTGCAGTCCCGGGCCGAGGCGAGGCCAGTCCTCGATGGGTCAAAGCATCTATTGAAGATCCATAGATATTCTGACCCATACATAATATTGAGTATATACAGATGGTGCCAATCCAGACCCCATCTATACATATCTATACTGGTTGGTGGTTTGGAACATGAATTTTATGTTCCATTATATGCTGGTTTGTTTCATCCTTCCCATTGACGTTCATATTTTTCAAGATGGTTAAAACCACCAACCAGATTAAATTAAAGATCCATAGGTGGAATATATTCTATTAAATATTTTCTATTTACCATATATGCTAACAAATTGCCATTTAGCTATTGAACATCATTAAACACATCTATATAGATATAATTATAGCTGGAATATGTGTTTACCATGTAGATGTATTAAGTAATGGGGGTAATACTAGATTCAAGAAGATGGTATAGCTATTAATGTCGAGGTCAACCTTGGATGGGTAGAAACTGATCCTTTAATCTGTTGGTATCAATAGGAATATCTACTCACCAGCTAAGAGTTTTTATTTCTTGCAGGGTATCTAAGATTGACAATGTATCCGATATACACTGTGGTGAAACAAGAGCACAGGTTCTTCCGCGGTACTTGTTTAAGAAAAAATACTATAATGATGGCAACCCGATACACAACCTTGGAGAGGATAGTTTGTACAAGTATACTTACATATCTTGCCATGAATGAGGGAATACGATCCCCAGAAAATCCCTTCCATCCCTTCCTTAGGTAATCAAACATGGCAATCAAAAAGCATCATTTTTTGATAGGACGATCATCCAAAAATGGAGCTACTGTAGATGGGTCAGGTGGATCCACGAAATCTGCTGGGAGAAACGCCACTGATGCCCGGCGCCTAGAAGTGCAGGTTTTTGTCACGGCTTTGCATGAGCTCTAGGGGTCGCAATTCGCTAACATATTGTCATATATATATATATATCATTGTTTTACGATCTTTTATGCCCCAGTTCAAAATTCACTAAACGACCTTACCCCATGGCAAAAGTGCCAAGACGTTGTTTTTTGATGCTGTTTGTATATTGAAGGTCAACGTCACTTTGGCCGGTTGCATCAATCTAGCATCAATCACTTTTCAAGTACTGGCATGTGTTCACAGATTCGGGTAGTAACGATCCAATATTGTATATCACGACCATCATGATCTATCATCAGGATGCATGATATTATATTGTCCCGGGTGCTTTCATTTTCAATTGCGTAATTAATATCCTTTCCTACCATTGACCCACCATTTCGTCACCTCAGGTTGGCTTGTCGTGCCGCTATGGAACGTCCTGTGGATGCAACGATTTCGGGACCCTGGTTGCGTGACTTGGCGATTGGAAGACCAATTTGGGCTGGTTTTGGTCACCCTTGTAGTATTGTCCATTCAGTTTTGATATTTTTTGGGCCCAAGTTTGACAAATACGCAACTATCGAAGTCGAGTTGTTGGATGTTGCTTCGTGGTGCATATTCTCCACCAATATCCGGTGTCGCAGGCAAAGCGATGTTCTAGAAATGAATCCGGCTGGCAGAACGATGGGCCACCAAAAGCTATAGAACGATTGCGTGGATACACCCTGAGTATCCTTTATATTTGAGGCTTTCATGGTGTGAAACTGAGTGAAATGGGCCGGAAGTGAGCTTGGGAGCAGGTCCATATTTCTTGGTAGGAACCATATAATGATTATATCAATGATTCTCTGATGGGAATATCAAATATGATATATCGATCATTTTGATATATTGATGTACATATTATATCATATTATATCGTATTAAATCAATATTTATCAATCGTATATAGCAGACAGATAGTATTATAATGCATTACCTATCAAATGAGCCAGCCCTGAGGCCCGTTGCGCAAGCTCTTGGAGGCCAGGCCAACATCTCACGGACGGACTTTAAAAGGGAGATCGGACATATCCAGGAAGTAACTACCCAAAAGATGGCTGAAACAAATGGATACCTCTGGTAATTTAACATAGCTATTGAAAATGACCATTTATAGTGGATTTTCCCATTGAAAATGGTGATTTTCCATAGTTTTTTGTATGTTTACCAGAGGATACAGGATGGTGCCCCCCAGTTATAAGTTGGTGTACAAACCCCATGAATACTATAGTTATATCTACCATAAACCATAGTGAAATGGGAGTTATTTGCACCAACTTAGCTAACTATGGGGCACCACCTTGTAGGGAGTTTTTTTGGCCAGTCATATCTGGATTTGGTTCATTCTTATAACACAAAAAAGGGTTTGTCAATGATGTTTTATAGAGCGGTTGATATGTGTTTGTCCCAAAATCGGGCAACAAAAAATCGCAGGATTTATCGTTGTTTTCAATCAAAGTTTTTTCAAGCTGAGTATACCACCTTGTTAGACAACCCATGTTGTTATATTCAAGATAAGGTAATGATACCGTTCTTCTCATGTGATTCATTTGATAAGGCACTGATATGTAAAAGGATACTTTTCCCCGTAGGAAACATAAGGATGCTGTTCTTCTCATGATAAGGTAAAACTAAACACATGCTGGATGGTGCTTTGGAACATTTGGATTATTGTTCCATATATACTGGGGTAAAAGTAGATGGCTCAACTCAAAAACCAAAATACCCATAAGATGGCACCGCGCGCTGAGAAAGAAAACGGCGCTATTTTAGCTGGAACATAAAACGAGGTCCGCCAATTGAAGAAAAAATCGCCCTACTTTAAAATGAAAAGGTAGATGGCGCAACTGCCACTCCAGTAGATGGATATAAGGGTATTGTTAACTAAATTTACTACATTTCCTATCATTTTTGCTTGTATATACGGTGAAATTGCACAAATTTGTATTGTATAAAATGAGTTGCGCCATCTAATGTCCCTTAAATCCCATTCAAACGCCAGAATCATTTTTTCGGTGAATTCAAAAATGAATTGCGCCATCTACGTCCCTTAAATCGTATACAAATCTTTCAAAATTTCAGTGCCACGCCTTAAAAATGAACCACTGAAGGTTTTAAAACTGATTGTGGACAGAATTGATGGATGTAAATTTCATTGTTCAACATATTTTGACAAACATATATTGGAAAAACACTTTTAAAAATTCATTGCCATACCTTGAAGATGAGTTGCGCCATCTATGTCCCTTAAATCCCATTCAAACGCCAGAAAATTATTTTTCGATGGGTTCAAAAATGAGTTGCGCCATCTATGTCCCTTAAATCGCAGTCAAATCTTCGAACAAATTCATTGCAATACCTTGAAAATGAACCACTGAATGTTTTAAAACTGATTGTAGACAGAATTTTATGGATAGAAATGATAGAAATCTCATCTTTCAACATATTTTGACAAAAATATATTGAAAAAAACTTTTACAATTGCATTGCAATACCTTGAAAATGAGTTGCGCCATCTATGTCCCTTAAACCCCATTCAAACACCCGAAATTTCTTTTTCGATGGGTTCAAAAATGAGTTGCGCCATCTATGTCCCTTAAATCGCAGTCAAATCTTCGAACAAATTCATTGCAATACCTTGTAAATGAACCACTGAATGTTTGAAAACTCATTGTGGACAGAATTTTATGGATAGAAATGATCGAAATCTCATCTTTCAACATATTTTGATGTGGCATATTTTGGTTGGGTTGGTTGATGGATGTCGGGAGATATGAGGGAGTTGCGCCATCTATGTGGGCATTTGCAGCCTGATTTTGGCGAATGAGTGGGAGTTGCGCCATCTATGTCCCTAAAAATGACATATTCTTTTCAATCTTCTGCACTGGTTTCTCCCCATGTTTTTTCTCAACATCAAGCTGCCTTTTTGGGACATAGATGGCGCAACTCCCACTCATTCGCCAAAATCAGGCTGGGAATGCACACATAGATGGCGCAACTCCCTCATATCTCCCGACATCCATCAACCAACCTAAACAAAATATGCTACATCGATCAGAGTCCTTGGGATAACTCTGATCGATGTGGCATATTTTGGTTAGGTTGGTTGATGGATGTCGGGAGATATGAGGGAGTTGCGCCATCTATGTGTGCATTTGCAACCTGATTTTGGCGAATGAGTGGGAGTTGCGCCATCTATGTCCCTGAAAATGACATATTTTTTGCAATCGTCTACGCTGGCAATTTGCCACTTTGCTTGGCCCCGGAAAACGGACCCCACCAAGTCCCCCGAAAAAGAGTTTTTTCCTGAGTTTCCCAAAGGAAACTTGACACTGGTGGGGTCCGTTTTCCGGGGCGAACCCAAGTGGAAAATTTGCACTGCGCTGGTTTCCCCCCATTTTTTTTCTCAACATCAAGCTGCCTTTTCGGGACATAGATGACGCAACTCCCACTCATTCGCCAAAATCAGGCTGGGAATGCCCACATAGATGGCGCAACTCCCTCATATCTCCCGACATCCATCAACCAACCTAACCAAAATATGCCACATCGATCAGAGTTTTCCCAAGACAGGAGGCAGTTGCGCCATATATGTCCCAAAAAGGACAACTCTGATGTCTTTCCTGGTGGTTTTGCTTCCTGTCTTGGGATAACTCTGATGTCTTTCCTGGTGGTTTTGCCTCCTGTCTTGGGACAGCTCTGATGTCTTTCCTGGTGGTTTTGCCTTCTGCCTTGGGATAACTCTGATCGATGTAGCATATTTTGGTTAGGTTGGTTGATGGATGTCGGGAGATATGAGGGAGTTGCGCCATCTATGTGACATTTCCAGCCTGATTTTGGCGAATGAGTGGGAGTTGCGTCATCTATGTCCCTGAAAATGACCTATTTTTTGCAATCTTCTACGCTCTGGCAATTTGCCACTTTGCTTGGCCCTGGAAAACGGGCCCCACCAAGTCCCCCGAAAAGTGGCTTTTTCCTGAGTTTGCCAAAGGAAACTTGACACTGGTGGGGTCCGTTTTCCGGGGCGAACCCAAGTGGAAAATTTGCACTGCGCTGGTTTCCCCCAATTTTTTTCTCAACATCAAGCTGCCTTTTTGGGACATCGATGGCGCAACTTCCGTCATTTTGCCAGCAAAGGTCGAGACGCTTTAAAACCAAATTTTAACAAGTGACCTGAGGAACCGTTTCTTGACGGCAAAAACGGTTCCTCAGGTCACTTGTTAAAGTTGGGTTTTAAAGCGTCTCGACCTTTGCTGGCTCAAAACAACTTCCGTCATTTAGCCAAAATCAGGCTGGGAATGCCCACATAGATGGCGCAACCCCGGGAGTTGCGCCATCTATGTCCCAAAAAAGCAGCTTGATGTTGAGAAAAAAAAATGGGGAGAAACCAGCGCAGAAGATTGCAAAAAATATGTCATTTTTAGGGACATAGATGGCTCAACTGCCCTGTTTTAAAGGGAGTTGAGCCATCTACCCCCCATTTTGTTTTTTTGACATAGATGGCGCAACTCAAGATTCTGAGCCATCTACTTTTAGGGGAGAGTATTGGGAATGTCATCATCCCACCTGACGAACTCATATTTTTCAGAGGGGTAGGTCAACCACCAACCAGTTATCTATAGGTATTATAACCACTATTATGATATACAGTAATGATATTTCATCCCATTAAAAAGGCCAACGAGACTCGCATCATCAAAAAAGGCGCGTGCCGACCCCAACGCAGCGGATTTGTCTGGGGAGCCGCCGCTCATCGAAGCCGCCTGTGCCGGAGATGTAGAGGTGGAAAACTGTCGCCGGAGACGGTGAGTGAGTTTGGGATGTTTTAATTGGTGTAGAAAACCATCAATTTTATGTTAGTAAAGCGAGAAAAAAACATACATAGTTTGATGATTTATACCACTTATTTATTTCATGGTGAACTTCGGGATGGCCGATTCTATTGTTTTACATACCAAATTTGATTAAGGAGTCAATTGGTGTATACTCGGCAATCATGGGAATATAGTGGGGATAATTTAGGAACCTTTTTTTTTGAGATGTGTAATTCTTACAACATTGAGCATAATCGTCTATAAATTGTTTTATTCTTGGGGTAATAAATGGGATATGCCACCACTGAGACAAATATGATACTGTATTTGAGTCTATTTGAGCCATGGGTGATACCATAAATCGCCATTGAGTGGCGGAACATGATGATAAACCATCAGATCTTGGGACACAAAAAATCTTCAGAGACCCAGGCCTGGCAGCTTGACTGGCAAAGACAACACCACGAGTATGGGAGTAAATGGGATACGATATCTATATACTGGTTGGTGGTTTGGAACATTTTTTATTTTTCCATATATTGGGAATACTACTCCCATTTGACTAATATTTTTCAGAGGGGTAGGTCAACCATCAACCAGTATATATGGGAGCCGTCCGTAAAAGCAGGTCACAAATTTATGAATTGATGCGTTTACTTTGCTTTGCGCGATTGCTAAAACCTGCATCGCGATAGGCTGAGCGATTGGTTGGCGATTGGTTATACGGCTACCACCCTATTACTACTACTACTACTACTACTACTACTACTACTACTACTAGTACTACTACTACTACTACTACTATTACTACTACTACTACTACTACTACTTTTACTACTAGTACTGCTAGTACTACTACTACTACTACTTTTACTACTAGTACTACTAGTACTACTACTACTACTACTACTACTACTACTACTCGTACTACTTTTACTACTAGTACTACTAGTACTACTACTACTACTACTACTACTACTACTACGACTACGACTACGACTACGACTACGACGACGACTACGACGACTACTACGACTACTACGACTACTACGACTACTTCTACTACTACTACTAGTACGAGTACGACTACTACGACTACGACTACTACTACTACTACTACTACTTTCGAGACCAGAACCATGCCAATAATTGACATGGCCGCGCGGATTCCGCGCGCGCGGAATCCGCGCAGATGTTTTCAGGTCAGAAGGACATTCAAGCTAGCTCCAATTGAAAACAGGTCAGAAACAGGTCAGAAACACCAGAAACAGGCAGCACTTGCCTAGCATCCCATCCATCCATCCATCCATCCATCCACCTCAGCTCTTATCATTGCTACTAATACTACTACTACTACTCCTGCTACTACTACTACTGCTACTACTACTGCTACTACTGCTACTACTACTACTACTCCTACTACTACTCCTACTCCTACTCTTACTCCTACTTCTACTCCTACTCCACTCCTACACCTACTCCAAACGCAACCTCTCTCTCTCTCCCTTGCCTATTCCCTCACCCTCCTACCAGAACTCTTACGCCTACTCCTATTCCAATTTCCACTACCACTACTGCTAGTGCTACTGCTACTGCTAGTGCACTGTGAGTTTTCCGGACCGTTTCCGGACCGCACAAGCTTATTTTGCTCCCAAATTTGAAATCGAATGCGTTCACGCATGGATCCTTACTCTCATTACTAGATTTGCTACTACCCCCAGCACTACCACCACACCCGCTGCTACTGCACCACCCTGCACCACCACTACCACCACTACCACTAGTACACCTAGGAATTTCTGCTCTTGCTTTTAAATCCAATTGCACTCGTGTGAAGGGTCAGAAACGAGTCAGAAACCAGTCAGAAACCAGTCAGAAACCCGTCAGAAACCGGCCAAACGCAATCTCTCTCTCTCTCTCTCTCTCCCTTGCCTATTCCCTCACCCTCCCATCAGAACTCCTACGCCTACCCCTATTGCAATTTCCACTACCACTATTGCTAGTGCTACTGCTACTGCTAGTCCTGCTGGTACTACTGTGAGTTTTCCGGACCGTTTCCGGACCGCGCAAGCTTATTTTGTTTCCAAATTTGAAATCGAATGCGTTCACGCATGGATCCTTACTCCCACTACTAGATTTGCTACTACTCTTAGTACTACCACCACACCCGCTGCTACTGCACCACCACTACCACTAGTACACCTAGGAATTTCTGCTCTTGCTTTTAAATCCAATTGACACGAGTTCCGCTGAAGGGTCAGAAACGAGTCAGAAACCAGTCAGAAACCCGTCAGAAACCGGTCAAACGCAACCATTTGTTTCCCCCTCCCTCCCTCTCTCTCTCTCTTTCTCTCTTTCCCTCCCTCTCCCTTTCTTCCCTTGCCCTGCTACTAGAACTCCTTCTCCTATTCCTACTCCTACTCCTACTCCTACTCTTACCCCTCCTACTACTACTACTACTACTACTACGACTAGTACTACTAGTACTACTAGTACTACTAGTACTACTAGTACTACTAGTACTACTAGTACTACTAGTACTACTAGTACTACTGCTGCTGGTACTACTGTGAGTTTTCCGGACCGTTTCCGGACCGCGCGAGCTTATTTTGTTCCCAAATTTGAAATCGAATGCGTTCAGGCATGGATCCTCATTATATAATACATAACTTATATTTTATGTATATGATCTGATCAACGAAGAACAAACCCTTCCGCGATTGCTCACTGTGGTACCGCGGTTGCTACGCGATTGGCTGAGCGATTGAGGGCTGTCCGGGAAAAGGTATTTTGGACAACCCCCATATATATATGTCTATATATAAGGGGGATTTAACCAACAAATATGGGGACGTAGTAACTACAAAAAGAACTCTGCAACTCTTTCCCCAATGGAATTGATCATGAGCAAGTGTACAACGTGCCACAGTTGAGTGACCTAAGTTGGGTCAGAATGTAAAACAAAAACAAGTTGCCAACAAAATCATCAAATTAAAACAAAAACAAGTTGGGTTGAGTGACCTAAGTCCCCATGTAAAACATCAATTTGTTATGTTTTGGATTTCATGGGGATTTAGCCAACAAAGGTGTGGATTTAGGGGTCTAAAATGTCTAAATGCAGCCATGATATGGGGATTGAATGGGAATGCAATTGGTTATATGACACATGCAGCAACATAATATAATATACGTATGGGTGTGTCTCAAAATGGGATATGTAGAATGCCATAAAACTATAGAATTCTAGTTTGGTGGAATAAGAAAAGCAGATACATCATTAATATTCATTAAGCCTTAAGCATTTGCATTCATCGAAACTAGTTGGGTTGGGTTGGAGCTTGCTTCGCTGGACGAACTGCTCCAAGAGTCAGTTGACAGGTGTGTCAACTGCTGCTTGAAGCGAATGCAGATGCCTCTCCAGAGAGTAGCGTTGGGTGCCTCAGAAACCGAGCGTCAGAAAGGATGTGCTTCTGGATAGGACTTCCAAACGGACCATGTCAAGCAGGGGGTGCGGGTGAGGAGTCTTAGACCTGAATTAAAGAGGGCTGGAACCGCCAAACTGTGAAGATTTGAGATGTTGCAAACAAGCAGTTTAAAACCATTTTAGAGACTAAGCCTCAAATGGGTCTCTACCGACTGGGGATGCAGCCTGTTTTCCTGTTGGATTGGGAATTCTTGAATGGTTAAAGCACCCACGCTGATGTTAGATTTCTCGCATCCACAACTTGTGTGTGTGTGCTGAAAAAGTCAGACCCTCCGGCTTCATTTGTCATCTGTTTCATTTTGTGATAGGTGGTGCACCACATAGGATGAAGCATGATGAAGCTATGAAGCAGGACCACAATGTTTACAATTGGTTTGTTTTATGTTGTTTACCCGCAAATGGCCAGTCCACCCTGGGTCGCCGGGTCCGGTCGAAATTTCACCCATTTGTGGATCAAACCCCTGGTACCCGCAAAGGCGGGTGTTCGCGGATCTTCATCCTCCAAAAAAAATACCTTCTGGTTCTGACTAACAGTTTGCCATGGAAAGATCCACCATGCTATAAATAGGTAAAGCATCTATTTCTATGGGAAAATCACCATTTTTCATAGGTAAAGCATCTATTTCGATTAGGGCCATCTATACCATGGCTATGTCATAACCAGGCCGGGTATCCGATCTGACCCAGCATAGCATGTCTCTGGCGGTCCAAGGTGGGAATGACTGCCCTTGGTTTTGCCGAGAGCGAAGGACATCGGGAGGTGCAGATACCAACGACCGCACCGCGACGTCGCTGGAATCATGGTTAGGATTTGGGTAGCTATCGCAAACAATATGTTTTTTTTTATGTTTTTTTCCCAGGTTAGTGTGAAAATTAGTTCAAGCTATCCAGATACATCCAGATACATTGTAGCCCAGTTGTGTCTAGGTCAACCTTGGCTAGTTTAATCTTCAAATAGGAATATGATCTACCAACCAGCTAACCCAGCTTACATTTTTTTTCAGGGTATCTTATATACTGGTATACAAGGTGGTGCCCCCTAGATAGCTAAGTTGGTTTATAACTCCAATAACTATGGTTTATAGGTGATATATCTATAGTTAATGGGATTATAAACCAACTTATAACTTGGGGGGCACCACCTTGTAGATTGGAAATCTGAACCATCTACAATCAGATGCTAGAAACCTTCACCCAGGTGGTGGAGCTGCTGCTGAAGCAGCACACTTTCAAAAGTCGACCTTTTCAGGAGACGCGTTCAACGCAAAGATGGTGAGATCACCCACCGCGTCTGAAAGAACATCAAAAAATATGTGTATATATATAGTATATATATAATTATATATGTAATTATCATATTCTATTATATCAATTATATCATATTACACTACATTATGTTATATATATATATACATACATTACATTATATATAGATATATTAGCATTATAGAATATATACAACACAAGATAACAGGATTGCCTCAGACATCCTTCAGACATCAGGTCCCCGGAGTTGATGAAATGATGGTGGATGGGGGATTTTATGGTTTCATCATCTATTGATTATCCACATACCCTCTGGTAAACTAACGTAACTATGGAAAATCACCATTTTTAATGGGAAAACTCACTATAAATGGCCATTTTCAATAGCTATGTTAAATTACCAGAGGGTAGGTTCAAACCAACACTGGTAGTTGGAAATTGGGGGATGGATAATGATGGATATATGTCTGGGGGATTATCCACATATAGTAACATTTACCCATGATATCATGATATCTAAAGAAATTGATGGAACAACACTGGTATTTGGACATTGAGTGATATGCTGAAAAAAGCTTTGCCAGAATTTGCTTGTTTTCTGTGGAAAACAGTCATGCTTCAGCAATGAACAGGAGGAGTTTGAGCCAAAGAGCTCAACACCTCCTTCGGGTCATTTGGAGGCAATTCTGCTGGCTTGGGTGGCAGCATGTGCCCATACACCTTCACACCCAAAACACCCACGCAGAATGGGTTGAAACATCCGCACGGGAAGATTATAGGGAAGGGAATAAATCAGCAACCAAAATCGATGTTTTTTCTCGGCTAGAAACCACAATGTTCCATCATTTTCCCATAGATTCCCTATATGTCGCATTCATTTGCCTCACATAGGTGGTACTGTAGCATCAGATTTCAAGGTCCGAGTTAATTATTGGATGATGCGCGGTTGAAATGACTGTATTGGCAGTCCAGGATCCAACTTATTTATACAGATAATTGTATAATATATAATAATAGTGATAATAATAATAACACCAATAATAATAATAGTAATGATAATGATAATAATAATAATAACTTAATACAATATAATATATTATATTATAGTATGTAATACAATATAGACAAGCATAGTATGGTATACTATAATATACTATAATATAAGTTAATATAATATAATATAATAAAGTATGATATAATGTAATATAATATAATAATATGTAATGTAATGTAATGCAATGCAATGTAATGTAATGTAATGTAATGTAATGTAATATAATAATATGTAATGTAATGTAATGTAATGTAATTTAATATAATATAATAATATGTAATGTAATGTAATATAATAATATGTAATGTAATGTAATGTAATATAATAATATGTAATGTAATGTAATGTAATGTAATATAAAATAATAATATGTAATGTAATATAATATAATAATATGTAATGTAATGTAATGTAATGTAATGTAATGTAATGTAATGTAATATAATATAATATAATAATATTTAATGTAATGTAATGTAATGTAATGTAATATAATATAATAATATGTAATGTAATGTAATGTAATGTAATGTAATGTAATGTAATGTACGCATGTAGGCACGTACATCCATCCATCCATCCATCCATCCATGCAAACTGTAGAAGTGTCCAATGTGCCCCGCCAGGAAGTCAGAGAGGTGTCATCCAGCGCCTTGGAACGCCTTGGATTTCGGATGATAAATCTAGATAATTCTAGATAAATCCATTAAAAATGGTGATTATCCATTAAAAATGGTGATTTTCCATAGCTTTTTGTATGTTTACCAGAGGGTAAATCTAGTAGGAATCAACTGATTAAATGGTGTGTTTTCTCTGCATTTTGTTGATGATTGGCCTTGCCACCGTTGCCGCCGATCACCGATAAAAATCGAGGCGGCCCTGCGGATCAAGATGTCTCCGCCGAGGCGGCCAAAGAGTCAGCCACCAGGATCCATTGGCGTCAGCTGCGATGATCATTTCGGAAATGACCCAAGATGCTTGACACATGTTCATTGATGTTTCCACATGGTCATAATATACGTGTATATATATATACATTATATATATATATACATTATATATATATATTACATAGTTTTTCCATAGATGTTTCCATAGATGTTTTCCACATGCTGCACCAGGTGCATCGCAAGGACGACCCTGAGCCAACGCCAGAGCCCACTGCGGAGGCGACCGCGGATGCAGAGGAGCCAGCGATGGAAGTGCCCTTGTGGAAAAAAATGGACCGGGGTTGATTTCTATATATATATATACATAATGGATTATAATGGTATAATTGCTATTATATATATATGTTACATATAGTATCATATGATATATATATACAGTATATATATATTACATATATATATATATTACATATCATATATGTATATGTAATATATATATGTCACATATTAGATGCAAGATTGGTTAAACCTAGACTATGACTGTAGTTTGGGTTGCTGGAAAGGTCAAAAAAAATAGTGTCACTTGTCCAAATCATTTGAGGCCGCGGGCCACATGTTGCACCAAGATTTTTCATGTTGAAGCGCCGCCAAGGCAGACCTTGACCTTGACCCACCAAAAGCTCAGTCCTTCCTGGAAACTGCTGAGAGTCCATGGGATGCAGTCCATGGGATCTTCGTGGGTCCATCCTCGAGTACTGTGGCAGCTTTTGCCTGATGTGTATCTACCGGTTCAAGACATGGGTGATGCTTTTTTTTTCGATTTTTGGATCGAGGTTTGCAATATGTATTTAGAGTTGTGAAGCGCAAGAAGCGGGATGTTACCGGCTTTCGCTCCTACCTTTGAGTTGTTGGTATTCTGAAAGGTTCGATATATAAGAGCTGAAAGACTCTGAAAATGATCAAACAAACCAGATCAAAAACCATGAAGTGAGAGTTCATTGATGTTCCACATTGACATTTGTTCCATCTCATTTGGGAATGTCATACAGAATTCTATCCTAAAAACTAAGACAAGGATGGGACCCCCAAAACCGGTTTGATGTTCAGGTCCCTGAAACTGGGGAGATTCCTGCATGACGACCCACAATGACCTTACCATAGATCATGGTTACTGAGAGGATTAATCCCCAAATTGGATCAACATCGTTTATTAGTATAATTAAGCGGTTTGTGAAGTATTCTAGTTTACCCAGGTATTTCTCACTTCATCACTTCGTTAGTATTTCTATTTATAGGTTAAGTGCAATATCCCACAAAGGTATGTCCCCACAGAACGCCAGTTACCCTCCAGTAATCAGACATGGCAATGGGAAATCCAGTTTCCCCTCTTAGATGGATCTTCAATGGAAACACAATATATAAATGTGGGATTTTCCAGCTTGCCATATCCCATGAATATCCCACTGATCTCAATGGATTGGTTGGAACATCTACAGGAAACCATAGATGTTCACATTACATATAGATACATAATACATATAGGACTTTCCTGTAAATTTTCCCAACAAAACCAATCGATCTCCTATCGAAGCTAGGCCTCGGTTCGCTGGTGCCGGCCTACCACTCCGGCCCTGTCTTGCGTAAGGAGGTTCCACGGGCGCGCTGCCCTCAGGCAGTTGGGATTTTGGGAAAAATGGAGGATTCACTGCTATCACCAACAAGTCAAGGGCCTTGTGAAGCGACATAATTCAGTCAAGTTTTGTTCGATACAGGGGCCCCAGGTGAGATGGGGGCATTGGAGATTCCAATAGTTGGGTAATGTTTTGACAGCACATGTCATGAATCTTCTGCCAATAGATCACAGTCCGTTTTAGGAGAGGATTAACTTCACAGCAGATTCTAAAAATGTGTCTTAAACATCCCGATTCTGAAGAAGAGTAGAGTAGAGGATGAAGATGGCACTATATGGCACTACAAGGGTTGGCACATGATCTTCGACATATGGAAATGGATTTATCGGATAGCCTGGCTCAGAATTCACGAAAATGATGAAATTGAATCCGGCTGTCGTAGTTTCAGTTGTTAATTTGTCAACCATAGGCTGATGCTTCGCCAGGAAAGTGCTATGCCTGCGCCAAAGACTGCGCCGGCTGCAGCCCAAATTCCTCGAAGTTTTGCTCCAACTCCGGTGGCTCAGCGCTGATTAGGTGGTGATTGAAGTTCTTGAAGACAATGAAACAAAGAAAAAGAGAGATTGTCACTGCAACAGCTAAGAAACAAGGATTCGTTAGGCAAATTGCAACCATTTAATGATATGACTAAAGGGCAAGAACAGGAATATGATGTTAAGATGGGCATAAAAGGGATACAGCCAGGGTATCTGACCAGGGTTCCCCTTCGAAGGTGCACCAGCTTGGGTCCCAAGTCTACACCTGAGTCTCACTTTTCCTGTAAGCTTCCATTTCGGCTAGCCGGTCAGCACTCATTTTTGTTGGTATCCCGAAAGATTCGTGGAAAATTCAAACGTCTCGAAATTCAACCATTGCATCAAAAACCAATTCAAAACATAGAATCATACATAATTATTTTTCACAAAGATAGAAGATCGTAGAAAACATAGAAGTACAAGAACAGTCAAGAGGCATCAAATATCCATATCAATATTATATCACTATATATCACTAAGATCTCACATCATGTGTCATATATTACAGTGTCAAGATGTTACTATGTTTCTATATGTTACTATATGTTACTATATATTTATCATTATTTATCTAACATATTATAGTGTTACTTCATAAACGCTGAGGCGCGCATGGTGCCGCCTCCGGCTATGCCGGCGACGTCGGCGCCCAGCTATGGGGCGGCACAGCAGGCGGCGCCCCGCATGGCGAGTGCCAAGTCGAATGGCTGGGCAGGGCCGTACACAGGTGGGGCGCGGCTCAAGGGTAAACTGCTGGGGTTCAAATAGCCTGTGTAGACATAGATCATCATAGATTGTCATAGATTGTCATAGATTGTCATAGATTGTCATAGATTGTCATAGATTCATAGATTCATAGATCGATCGATCGATAGATAAGAATAGTTTGCTTCAACCATGAGAGATGGGTTGAATCAGACCACCAACAAGTTAATTTATCTCGATGAATTGTGGCTAGTTTTTGGATGACGTTCTCCAAATGACCAAACTTTTCAGGTGAAAGGGCTAGAATGGTCAGCAATGGAGAACGTATAGGCATATATACGTATATTGTGGGGTAAATCAAGTGAATGCGGGTTAATGGACGTCTAATCGGGGGGCACGGAATGATTCACACAATTAACATACTAAATTATAAAAATAAAATTGGGTAAAATTGAAGGTTTGTTATTTTTGGGTAAACCGAGCGGCGTAAGCGGTTGATTTGGGAATGTCCCTTCCATTGTAGTGAGGTTGTCTAAGATTCGCCCATAAAATCCAGCCATTCGGCCTGGTTGACCATCCGGCAGACTGGAAGTAGAGTAGTTCTTAGATGTCCCTAGCCAAAAATATCGAGGAAAGCAAGAATACAACATATATATATACATCCTGCTAAAAGTGAAATTGTTCTAGGCTTACTTAGAAGCCATGACCAAAATTTGATGCAATTTGCCAATGTTTTCTTTCGATGCTGCAAGGCTACAGATACCAAAGCCAGCCAGTGCCAATGCGAAGTCCAGCTGTGAATCTGCGACAGGAGCACACACGGTTCCTTGGTTTGAGGCGCACATGGGTACCCCAGATAGATGGATGGCATTTTCCAAACTCGTCGTTTCCCAATTTATATATACTGTAGTTTTTTTTTGTCAGCTGGGTTGAACCTAGGATGATTATATTATCTCGTGTCATTTCTGTTGATGAAAATCATGGAGTTCATCAATGTCCATCATATTGCCACAGTACACCTGGATTTTACGGGTGGCAAACAACCAACAAGCAACGAAGCAGACAGGTGGCGGTGGTACCATCTCTACAACCAGCCTGAACTCCCTAGGTGAACTACCCAGTTTATTGTGATGATACTGTTTAAAATCCCTTCCTGAAGCCGGTACTTGGAGGATCATCCCACTTAGTGAGGTGAGTATATATATATATATATATTTATAGATATATTTATAGATATATTTATAGATATATTTATAAATATATTTATATATGTATATAGATATATTTATAGATATATTTATAGATATTTATATATATATATTTATAGATATATTTATATATATAGATAGATATATTTATATAATATATATATATAAATATATATATATTTATAGATATATAATTAAGTATATATATATATATAAGTGAGTTATAACCCCAGCTACTACAGGAACCACCACCTCGATCTGTGGGATGATTTGTTTGCTGAGGCATGCCAAAGCCAGCCGCGCCCCGGCCCCAACGGCGAAACCCCCGGCCCCGAAGCCCCAGCCAGCTCGCCCGGCGGAGCCTAGCGATAGCGATGAGGCGGAGCCATGGATTCCATGGCTGCTATAAATATATTTAATATATGGGTATGGATCAATACCTATACATACCATTTTTAGTGGGATGAACATCCATTTACCAGCTATTTTAGGGGTTCACTAGGTACCAGGGTTTTGACCCATCCCCATATGTTTTAATGGGGAATCCACCCCAAAATGTGGAAGGACATGTTCAGATTTGTGTCGGGTTTGTGAATCTATGTTTCGAATACCCAGAATGGTTGCAGCAAAGGGTCAAGAATCATCGAAATGGAAGTAGCATGGTATTGTGAACTGTTCAAAGCTATTCTTCGCTATTGATATAGGTTTTGGTGATTGATTTGATCGCTTACATGGCTCTCCAATGTACTGAGTAGCTGTGGTCAGAAGCCAAGTTCATCCCGATGCGGGGTATCCCCCATGCCGAAGTGATTCGATCATATTCCGTTGATCGGCTGCCCAGTTTGAATATATAAACATCATCTATAATTGCCTACTATATATGTAATATATAGATTGATATAGTACATTTGAATACATAATGAATACTGTACATATGAGTACGTAGAAGAGTGACTATAGTACTATAGTGAATACATCATGAACGGGCAATGAATGCATGAAGTGGATCCACGATCCCAATCCCCGCGGATTGCGCGGAGGCGCGAGAAGACTGTGGTCCTCGCGTGCGGAAAGCCATGGAGCAATTTCCTAGCTACAGTGGTGAGATGCCACCCCAAGAGGCTCGGAGGGCTGGGAAATCAGTTTGCGGCGCCAAGTGAGCCAAGTGGGGAGACCTCGGATTTGACCATGAAACTTGAAACCCCAAAAAACTATATAAACAAATGCCTGTATTTAAAAAACACGAATTGAACCTTTGAACTTTTGGAAGGAAAGCCATTGGCTCAACCCATTATTTGAATCATTTTGCGGTGATCATCTTCCGGGAAACATGGGGATTTGGGCAGCACGGGCAGCTTCATGTTGGGTTTTCTCGGGAGAATCAAGGGATCATCAACGTAGGTTTTCCACAGGAAGCTGATGTCCACACATACAATGGGCAAGAACAAAGCAAGAAACATAGGTCTAGCAGTCTAGCATGTTATAACCCTGAAGAATAAGCAACTGCTTAGATTTTTTTTTCCAACTGGACATGACGCCATTTTTGGCGGTGTTATCTTGAAATTTCACGGGTCATTTGCAGTTATTTTGCCCACCGTTCCAGGCCGAGACTACCTGGTCAGATCAGGACAGCCCTGTAGTTCAGTGTAAAAAGATGTAAACAGCATGGTTTCCGGTGAAGGATGGATTTTTGTTGAAAAATCCATGGGTTTTCCAAGTTTGGGTGCCTTAATCCAGGGTATCGTTGGTTAGGACGAGTTTGTGCGCCAGCCCCTGGGAGTTGGATCCAATCCAATCCAGGAGCTTTACAACTACTTCTTCTCGAGTGGCTTCATCAAGCCAAAGAAGAAAGGTACAAAGCCCAAACCCACCCCACAGCAGATGGAGCAGTACTACACCGTGCTGAATCTCAGGCGACTATTTTTTAGGAAATTGAGGAAACACCTGTGGTTCAACTTTGAGTGACCCCGAAATATAGACCAGACTATAGTTATACTATAGTTTACAGAAATTCACAGTGCCATTGAAGTCCTGAGTGTGCAACTCAGACATCGAGCAGACCCATACCATTCAGGTTTGGGATTGGGAGTAAGGGTGGAATAAGATTCTTTATTCCCATTTGGAACCCTTCAGCTCACCCATTCCAAATGGGCTCAACAGCGCACCAGGCCGGGTGCGAAAGCGGCCGCCATCAAGAAATCCTTTCGCCAATTGGCCCTGCGGTTTCATCCCGATAAGAATCGGGACAGCAGGGACCTCAAAGCTGACAGTCGACTCGAAGCAATTTCTTCGGAATTGCCCTCTGGTAAATTAACATAGCTATTGAAAATGACCATTTATAGTGGATTTTCCCATTGAAAATTGTGATTTTCCATAGTTATGTTAGTTTACCAGAGGGTGGATGTTCTGATTCTTGAAGGCTTCGAAATCCTTTGTTGTTTTACTTCATGTTGTCGTTGCTCTACTCCATGCAGTTGTCACACGTTGTCACTTTGTTGTCACTTTGTTGTCGCTCCTCGCTGAATGGGAATGCGACTCCATCCAATCCGAAGGAATTTCTCGGAGACTAGCAGATGATTGGCCAAGCCAGGAATGGTTCATGTAGGGTTCGGATTGGTTGCTGCAAATCACTTCCCCATTTCAGAAATGCACCAGCGGTCCTTAGAAAGATTCACCCCTTGTCAACCACGATTACGGTCGCAGTTGTGGTTATCAATTAGAGTATATTGGACATTATTGGACATCACCACCGTACAGTTATGTAGAGTTGTGGCCATACAATGCCATAGACTCATCAAGGGGAACTTGCACCCCCAAGTGATGGATTCAATTATTTAACAGTTTGCCATGGAAAGATCCACCATGCTATTAATAGGTAAACCATGGTAAACCATCGGGCCATTTTCATCCATCTATACCATGGCTATGTTAGTCATAACCAGGCCGGGTATATGTCTTCTTTTCGTGAAGTCCCGGCCTCTTTTGTACCTCAAAGGTCCAGAGGCCACGCTGAAGTTTCAGGAAATCACCGAGGCGGCGATGGGATGGCGTGTTGTCGTGTCAACCATCTGTCGTTGAGATCTCCAAAATTGGGACATCATGGGACAGATATATGACAGACATATGTGATATATCTGGGTAAATTATAACGACCTCACTGCGACCTCACTGGAATCATGGTTAATAAGGGGAATCATCCCAAATGGCCTTATTTCAGGTTTGTGAATTATTATAATTTGCCCAGATATGTGACATATGTGTTTCATTCTGTTTCTTTTCCAAAAATAACATACATCCAGTGCTGGAGGTTTCCAACATTGTGAGATCCCCAAGTCACCATGGGTTTCAATACTAAAGTGGGGGGGTACCAGGGTACCTCCATGACCAAACGGACACCTCCTGGGGCAAAAGGCTTGACCGCGGACTCGGATTGCCTCGGTAGGCGTATGAAGTGATTTGCAGAACGTTGGAAAGTCGCGAGGTGATGTCAAAAAGGGCCGTGCCTGCAGGGTCCAAGAATCGCAAGAACGAGAATCTCAAGAATGAATCGGGGCGAAAGTCGAAATGGTTGTTTCATGTTTGTTTTGTTTTCAAAAGCTATATATTGGATATATGTATATTTTTTTTCGTGGCATAACTTTCCAATGGAACACAAATGGAGCAGATCAGAAGCTGGATAATTACAATCCAAAGCCACAGTTGGTGAGGCCAATGGATAGTCAACATCATGCCTCGCGCGCAGACGCTTAGCAGTGTAATGAGAACATTTGCAATTAAGGCAGTGTAATCACATAGTTAACACATAGCCTTTCAAACGAACTCTGAACATCAGCCCTACCATGTTGATCAAAAGCTGCTTCTGATTCAAAATTTCAACACCTCGATGAATCAGGATATATCAGGATCCAGAGCAGCAGTGCATCACCTCAGACTTCACCATCTTCACACTCGCCGGTCATCGCCGGTCATCGCCGGTCATCGCCGTCCACGAGCGGAGTTCTGGGTCGATGGCGTGGCTCTTTGGGAAGCCGTCCAAGAGAGCAACTGAGCGGAAATCCGCTGGATGGGTATCATTGGTATATCATTGATATATCATTGGTATACATATCTGGGTATCTAAGATAGGCCATGAGACATAATAATCAGAATAGATGAATAGCTATGGTTTAAGGTCCTGTTTAGCACTCATCCGTGTCAAGTTTTTGGAGAGGTATTAGTTTTTTCCTTGCAAACAGTAATGAGATGCAATGACTGGACCGCGATCTATGCGAGAATTTGTTTGTAAAACCAATCGTACTTTCAAGATCGTTCAAGGAGGGGAGGAATTGAGGCCAGAAGCCTGTTTGAACATAACCAAACCTTGGGATCAGAGGTGCTGTGACCGCACAAACTTCCTCTCGCCCCAGAAATAAATCTGAAATGTTGGCTCCATATTATGTTTTTGCCATACATATTGGTTTTCACTTTCTTGGTGTTTTTTCTTTTTGAGGCGGATAAGTTTTCTGTGATCCCTTGCTCCTTGGGTACAGTAGCCATCAGTAGCCAACAATCATCGGTCTCGAAATTGGCTGAGAAGATTCTGAAACAAGTAAAAAGGTAAAAAAAAACAGATGAAGCAAATGATTCCATCAACGCTTGCCATCCTGATGTGTCCAGCCCAAGCACTGAAAATCAGCCTCCTAGCTCTTGGCTCATGACATACATCAGAGTGAACATGTCACGATCCGCATTTCGAAAGGATATGGGATAGTCAAGGTACAATTAAGAAGTGTACTGTTGCAATCTGATTAATTAGTAGCTAGGTTTGCTATTGTGGCTAAAAAAACAAATTATTCTGATCACATGTAATGTTTGGAAGTTTCACTATTGTGGCAAGAATTCTTGCAAGACATTTTTTGTTTGTCACAAAAATGTTGTGAAAAAACACGAATGATGTTTTCTGGAAAAATATTGCTTGTCTGGTTTTCCCAAAGAATTAGATCACTTGTTAAGCCCTTATTAAAGAACAGCTTTTCCACAAATTTCCAAGGCACTGGGCCATGAGAGGGCAATTCACTTTCATAGGTGTGTTTCCAAGGTTCACAGTTGCAGCAAACTTTTTCAGAGCTGATCCTGGAGCTAAGAGAAGAAAGAGAAACCTTTTACAAAAGCAATCGTTCTTTCTCTTTCTATTTCTCTTTCTCTTTATTTTTCTCTTTATTGTTCTCTTTATTTTTCTCTTCATTTTTCTCTTCCTCTCTCTCTCTCTCTTTTTCTTCCGCTCTCTCTTCCTCTTTATCTTTCTCTAATTACACCTTTGATAAAAGGCAACCCAATCATCATGCTGAACCCCATGCACTACAAGTACTACAAGTACTACAAATATCACAAGTTCATCGGCAAAAAATAGATATCAATTGTCGCCAAGTGAAATCCTTACTTAATGTACGTAGGATAGGATCGTATTTTTTCTGGGGAACAGTTTTTTGAAACTCAACTTTAAAGAGGGTGAACATTAAATCCCAGGGACTCCAAAGCACATGTTTTGGCCAGACCAGAGCCGGCATGTTCGCCCGAGGCAAATGGGTCATTGCCTGCTGTACTTTTGGATGAAAGTAGCTGGGCGTCATTGTTTGTGTCAGACTTCTGAGCAGAGTTGGAGAACATGGTTTGACACAAGCTGGGGGCCAAAGCCTTGGTTGAGACAGTGGAGTTATAGCACCTGATTGTTTGATTGGGACGTTCATTGGTTGATGCTGAAACCCCAGCTAAGTCCGCTTTAAATATTTTAACAAGCCCAAGCGCGGAAATTTGGTATGGCTATGCGTGGCTATCTTGCCAGCTGCAGACTCTCCATCAACCACGGATGATCCACCCTCCAGCACTTGATTATTCCTATGATTTAAGGGCAACTCCTATGTTGGACAACCCCATGTTCGGCTTAAGCAACAACGGAGTTTCCGGTGACGTTTTTCCTGTAACCCATCTATCCCCCCTATTCTTGGTGGATATTGGCAATATACCACCATTTTAGATCATTTTAGTTGGTTTACGCATGGTTAAACACCATAGATGAATAGCCCTAGTGTGGCATCCTCACCATGTGCGGTTTACAAACTTGGGTACCCCAGGCGTTTCAGGGAGCGATCGAGGTGACCTGGCCGCAAATTAGGAGCTGATGACTTGAAACCTGCCTTGGTGTGGCCACATATGTGTAGGATGTGGTAAATGTGGTAAACCCAATGACACACTATCCTTTTTATGGCATTTTATATATTTTGATATTTTTGATATGAAGATATAGCATTATTTTGTGGGAAGATCATTGATGATTATATTAAGGATAACTGTTTTCAAAACCATCCCCAATCCCCAATACAGGTTTATAATTTATAATTATTATTTTAGGATATTATATGAATATATTATATGAATATATTATATGGGTATATTATTATAGGGGATTATTATTATTATGTTATTATTATATATTACAATGGGGGTTTATGATATTTTAACCCATTGTATATAATAGGTAATATATTATTCATTATGTTATTAATATTATCCATAATATTAATTTATTATTTGTTATATATAATATTACAATGAATATATTATAGGGTATATTATTTTATTATTGGGTATACCTCTGTTTGGATGTTAACCATGACCCCCAGTCATGGTTTGTGTTTTTTTGAATCGGGTGAATCAATGGCCGGAAGCTTTAGCTGTATTCGGGTGAGTGAATGATATAAATTTGGCCGGATACTATACATATATAATGTTTATATCATGTTATATATACAATATATATATATATATATTATACAGACGTACATAATGTATGTATGTGTTTTATGCATATATCATGCCACTTACATGTACACCCGTTTTAGATGTGTATACATATATGTACGGTGATGGATGATGTATGTCATGTATATGATTCTGTAGGTGCATGTTTGAAGGTGTATTCACATATACAATTTTCCTACATACTGTCTATGTATATACATATATATATACAGACAGACAGACAGCCAGACAGACAGACAGCCAGATAGATAGATAGATTGATAGATAGATACATATTTAGATAGATATTTAGATAGATATTTAGATAGATATTTAGATAGATATTTAGATAGATAGATAGATAGATAGATAGATAGATATTTAGATAGATAGATAGATAGATAGATGGATAGATAGATAGATAAAGAAAAAGATAGATAGATAGATATGCCTGGTTTGCTTGCACAGAGCTTGCTGCCTCGATTGGCCTCTTAGCCCCTGTTGCTTCATAGGGACCATTTTTGGGCTGCAAAACTTGTACTTTTTATGGTCAGTTTCTACCTTACGGATCCTTATGGATCCTTGTGGTGGCTCATTTTGTCTTGACCTTCGCTCTCTTTTTATATTTGTGCGTGTATGTACAATGTATCTGCGGTCCACCCGGGACTCAATTTGCCGTTTCATGTTTCATGGTTTTCAGGGCGGCTGTCCATTCTCCAAGCCAAAACAGTAGACTCTAGACAGCACCGCCCAGATGAGCCAGTACTCCCTTGGGGGGCAATTTTTTGCCACAAAAAGTGTTGGTCTAAAAAAATCTGAACATGTTTCCTGAAAAAATCTTAGCTTTTCTCCCTGTCCCAAAAGAATCAGACCGCTTATTACACCCTTATTAAAGAACTGTTTTCCACAAATTTCTAAGGCACTGGGCCATGAGAGGGTCTAATTCACTTTAGTAGGTTTGTTCTCAGGGTTCACAATTGCAGCAAACTTTTCCAGAGCTGATCCTGGAGCCAAGAGAAGAAAGAAAAACCTTTTACAAAAGCAACCTGTTCTTTCTCTTTCTCTTTCCTTTTCTCTGTTCCTTTCTCTTTATCTTTCTCTTATCCTTCCTCTTTCTCTTCCTCTTTCTCTTCCTCTTCCCCCTCCTCTTTCTCTTTCTCTTCCTCTTCCTCTTCTTCTTCCTCTTCCTCTCTCTCTCTCTCTCTTTCTCTTTCTCTCGTTATCTTTCTTTGTTCTTTCTCTTTCTTTTTCTCTTATTGCATGGTTCATTAAGAAAAACTTAAGGTGGAAAAGGTAACGCAATAAACATGCTGAAACCCACTCACTACAAGTACCACAAGTACTACAAGTACTACCAGTAAGTACTACAAATATCACAAGTTTGAACATCGGCAAAAAGAAAGTTTTAATCAAATTTCAATTGTCGCCAATTGAAATCCTTACTTAAATACGGGATCGTATTTTTTTCTGGGGAGAAGTTTTTTGATACCAAATTTCACAGAGGGTATAGCTATTGTTTGAGGGGGGTTACACACAAATCAGGACGAACCATTTATATATATATACATAGTTTAATATATGGTATATGTTAAGTACTACTTCGGCTGTGCGACATGATAAAGAAGCTTCAGAAACGAAGTCGATGTCACATGTCATGCCTAAAGGGATCAACAACAGCTGCCGCACCCAATATAGGGAGGCCTTGCCCCCGTGAAGTGCCACTGTGTTCCCCCCAAGGATCAGTGATTTCAACGCTCGCAAGGTGAAAATATAGATAATCCAGAAGGTTGAACATTGGGGTTTGTGATTTAGATATATTAATTGATTAAACAAACTCGTCCGAAGTCTTACTGATTGATTGAACTGATTCGCTGTGTGCCCAGGGCAGCCCAGCATCTTTTGTTACTCCGATTTTGGGTCCTGGATCTCCCGGTGATTGTCCCATATGGAGATCGGGATGATCCCAACATAGGTATTGGGGGTGCCTTACACTAATCAGGACGAAACATTATATATAATTTATATTAATTCATAATAAGGTAAGTATTATATTCAACACTGATAAACCATTTGATATACCTGTGAAATCATGTGAATACACATATGTTTTTTTCCTCTCTTGTGAATCCAGAGATTGACCAACCAGTCTTGGTGTGACTGACCCTAGAAAAAATCGGCATTGCAAACATGGGGCCAGAAACAACTGAGGCAGAAAAAGCATGCCAGGCAGCGCCATAAGCCCTCAAAGTTCATCCTATTTGAAAGAAGGAAAGGACGAGCGAAAAGGTTCGACGGGTCGTCGATAGATGTCACTTCTGAGACCCGCATTGGATCTGATTTGTTTCATCATTTTTCCAATTTAACATCGTGATTTGGGGTTAAACTACATTTCTGGGCAAACCCATATTTTGTTATATGGTGTTGGTAATATCGGTAGTTTTGTATAGTTTTGTAACATATTTCATTCAGTGTATGGCATGAACATATTGTGAATGTGAATCATTCCCAAGATACACATTACACATGTGCAATAAGCAAATATGTTAAACCATGTTAGTTCTGAAATTTGCCAAACAAACGCCTCAAAAGAAAGTGTTATCGTCACTTTTCCCATTTCGACCAAAACCACTATGAAACTAAGATAGCCCAATATGTTGATGGTTGATTATCATACCCACTATGAAACCAAGATATCCCAACAAATTGATATGAAACTAAGATACCCACTATGAAACTACGCTTCCTTCAAAAGATCCACTTTCATCGGGGCAGCCAGGTCGAGGCAGAGTTAGCAGAGTGGCCACCCTAGAAGATTCAGGTGGGCCTTAATACAGTTCAGTGAATTCCAATAGTTCTCACAGATAATATGTATATGTTGCAGTAATCAGTAATTTGCTATATATATATATTATGTAAGTATATGCGCGTATATATATATATACAATATATATATATATACATATGTATATACATACATATATATATACATACATTGTTTCTATATGTGCTATATATATATATGTCATATATACAGTATTTTTGTTATTAACTATGTATTAGTGTATTTCTAGTGTTATATTGGTTTCATATATATATATGTTATTTTTGTACGCTGCTGTTTTTGTCATGTGCATTATATGTATGTTTATGTTTGTACATATACATATATATATATACATATTGCAATATTGTTGTGTACTGTTTTTTATACTGTGCAGTTGTCATTTATATCTTAATTATATTTATATTACTTTTATATTACGAGTATCTTATCACATATATATATATACATAGTTGATGTTTAATGTACCGGTTGGTTATATACTGTTTATATGTTTATCGTATTCAATATAAATGAGTTTCTGATCATTTGTGTGTTTATGTTTTCGTATAATATATTTACATGTTTGTTATAATATTACATTATTCATATGTTATTTTTATTAGTTTACGTACTATGTAGTGTTATATATATATTATTGATATGTTATGTATTGTATGTATATATATATATATATTATGTGTTTGTATTATTGATCTATTACTTTTTTAGTATTTGTATTATGTCATATATATATGATTATATTTATATGTATTATTACTGTATCGTTTATGTATCATTTATATATGATGCCATGATGCATATATTATTTAAATATGAGTTTTTTTTAGTATTTACAAGTATATATTATCTATTTGTTATTTGTGTATGTATGTATATATATATATTGTTGTTTTTTTTATGTGTCTTGTATTTGTATGTTATGTTTGGTATTGTGTCTAGTTTATTTATGTTCTTTATATATTTGATATATTAGTTATGTTTGTTATATTTGCAATATCCAAGGTTTATGATGGACCGAACAAGTATGAACAAGTATAAAGGGCACGACCAACTTACAACCTGGGGGGGGAAGAAAGATGCAGAAGTTGATTGTAATCATGTTCAATGTGGTTCAATGATCACAGAAAACTCACATGTGAACACTGATAATGGATGTTGACCATCTACCATGTTTAATTCTAAACTTGCCAAATTTTGGTGGTTCAATTCAAGAAATAGCAGTCAGTCCATTTTCCCAAGGCGTAGCTAACTACAACCTGGCTTGAGAGTAGCTACCAGGTTACCAACGGCAGCAGAAGCACCCGAAATGGTGAGACACTTCGAAAAATCATGGGAACCATTTTTGAGAGAAAAGGGGGAACTCTTTTTGCATGCGCATCCGTACAGTAAGTTCGTTTGGATGAAGAATAGCGACCTCAACCTCGAAATGATGTGAGGGAAATCATAATGACTGAAGATAGCTGGCCTATTTTTATTGCCCTTCCTGGGATTGCCTGGGGTGATGATCACCATTGACAAACACATACCCCTTAGGATCATGCAGGTTTTTCCGCCAGGAAGTTATCTGGAACCGACCACTCCCCTGAACAAGACCAGAGGCGCGGGCAAAGCACCGGCAGGGCTACAAGAACATCAAAGAACTTTGTAAATAAGACAAACGTGTTGTATTCCAAAATAGTCCAACAAAGGTTATTTTTTTTTTTTACCCAATTTAAAACCTACATGAAGCGCCTGTAGTGGAGTCAATGGATAGGCCGAACTGATAGTGAATGGTGAAGCAAGCATTGGCAAATGAAGGCCGTGTGCGAATGAGAAACAAACCATGTAACCACGCAACCATGTCCATGTAAATTTGGGTTGTTTGAAGTTTGAAGTCCCAGTATCCCCCTGACTCATGACTCAAGTAGTTTTGTGCTATCCATTGTTATCCCTTTCCGCTGCTTGATCATTTCTCAGGAGGAAAGAGCAAAGCTTCAACACTGCATGCAGTGGAGGAACACAAAGATGCCAAACTCAGACCCAGGACTGAGAAATAAAATGGTTCGAAACATGTTTGTTGGAAGCATGTGTGCTGGAAGCATGTTTCGAAAAATTGTAAAGATTGATGTTCATCCTAATCTGGAAATCTATGTGTACAAGCAGCAGATGACATGGAAACAAATGGTTGTTGCATGTTTTTTCATTTGAAAGATGACCAGCTGAAACATCCACCAAAACATCTCTGGCATCGCAAGGAGCAAGACGGATGAAGGCCGGGGACAGGATTGTCAGGACAGGACTCAACCCGATGGCCAAGCTTTAACCATGAGTATACCAAAGACGAAACTGTATATAATAATTATAATCCCATATGATTGAATGATTCATCAGATTCTAGATTATAATTATTAATGGTTATTTGGTTATTAGTTATAATAACCATTTTAAACCATATATCATATAACCATATATAACCATTACTATTGGTTTTATTGTTTTATGGTTATGTTTCTGAAAGATGTGTTTCTCCATTACGCACTACCATGGGTCCCATGGGGTTGATGCATTCAGGTGACCTGGAAGAGATGCTCACTGTGCGAGGCCAACTGGGAATCTTTTTCGATAAAAGGTTGAACAAAAGATCATAGAAAATGAAGAAGTTGGATATAGTAAGACCAAGATGTCGAAGTTTGAAATCTAAAATCCTCCGTGGTAAATTGAGCCTGTTCGATCTTTTTGGGGCTTGCTCTACCCTCGATTCTCCCCAGTTTTGGGACTGAGAATCACTAAGATGAGTCAGGGTTTGGAAACTCATTGATCAGTTCATTGGTCATGTTTTCATTTTTCACATTATTCGACCCCTCTCCTTTTTGCTACTGCACAGGTTGATACTGCTTTCCGGCCATTCGGATTTCGCCATTTGGGTATCCTCAAATCATCAGACCTGGCGTTTGGAAATCACATGAAGTCATCATCAAAAACGGGACATCCATAGGTTGACCATGGTTGACTCCTCAAATTCATTGGGCCATAGGGATAGGGCGCCCATGTTCAAGCCGTTTCTTGGATTTCCAGTAGGAATTCCCAATCCCTGGGTTTCTATCAACACCCAGCATGTTCGTTGGTTGAAGCATGTTTATGAGCTAACACATAATTTTCATGACATCCTGAAAGCAAGCTTCGTTTGTGGATGACCAATTCTTTGTGGATTTTTGGATGAAAGCCCTCATTTCAAAGTGCGCCGTTTGTTGTTGGAGGCGCTACAGATCTCAGCCGCTCAGATTAGTCACATGGGGTGCAGCACGTTCACCTCCCGCGATTGATTGCAAGCGATTGTTTTTCAATGAGTGGCTTCCAGCCATGCAGGGGTTATAATCCAGATGGTAATCGTGATCTAGATCCAGCCAACTGCCTGCCTAGACCTTGGTGAGTCATGAGCCACTATCATGGAGTGATCTTTAATTTCTAAGTAGCAACTATTGCCATAGCTAGTCAGCTAGGTTCCCTGATTCCTGATATGCTTAGGGCCCATGAAGTTTGATTGGTAGCAGATCAGGTGAGATTGGTAGCAAAATATGAAGGTACGTAATGGTATGTATATATATATATATATATGTATACAATACATATACTGTAGAGTAGAGGTTTTAAATTGGATGGTTTGTTTGCTAAGCGTGGACCAAAACTCTCTAAAATGGGAGGTGCATCATTTTGACCCAGACCCCATCCTCCAGCCGAGGTCTCGACGAGAGTGCAAAGACGAGGATTTTGCGTTGCCCTGGTTCCAGATATCCCATGATTTTGCTGTTTAAAATGTAGAAATGATGTCTACATATGTCTACATATTGCATATGCATATGCATGTGAATTTGTATACCCAGTCTCTCCATGTATATTGATGTATATTGTGTTTACCTACATTTAAGTTCCGTTTGCCCGAAAATGTTGGTCCAAATATTCCAGATCCACGAAGCATTTGGGACACACTAAGTAGAACTTGATCGATAATGATTGAGTGGTTGCATTCAACTACTATATGAGTAACCGACAAAATTATTGTAATACTAATTTAGTTTTGCTTCGCCTTGGCCTTTCTGAGGTTGCACAAAACCTTCATAACCAATAGGGGACGACCCTATACCGATACCTCATTTGTGATACTTCCGGGAGTACTGAAATCCGCACAAGCATGGCATTAAATTTAATGAATAGGCATATTGTTTTTTTGGTTGTTCCTTTATTTTCTCCATGTGTGTGTTGCTTAAATTCCCCACTAGAACATGGTAAACCCAGTAATAGAAAGACCGTCCCAATGGTCACCACTTTGTCAGGTGTTACTTGGATCATCCAACTTACTCCACTTTCAGTAGGCTTATTATATCTTATTATCCCATTTATAAGTTCATAACTCCACCAGTTTTGAGGTACTAAAGTTACTACCCACGGTAGTTATCCCAGATTCAGATAGGATGATCCTCCACGGCTGCGTGGAGAGACCAAGCTCCAGTGCGGCAAGCTCCAGTGCGGCCTTGTCCACCTCGCTGCTGGCGAAAGCATAGACACATACTGCGTTGCGCATACACATACTGCATATACACGCTATTATATATATACATATATATACATATATATACATATATATATATAATTACATATATGTATTATATATATATATATTATACGTATATGTATACATATACATATAGTTACACACATTTATATACATTTATACTATACCCGCATATAGCGACGGAATGATAGTTGGAACATCGTTTGGATACAAGTCACTAGGGAACTCACGCTTAGAACATCGGCACTATATACACGCTTAGAACGTCCCAGAAAGATGGATATTTGCCCCTGAATCTACGTAGATAGGTGCTGCACACAAAACACTTGGAACGTCCCTGCAACGCTGAGAGCCTCGCATGAGACGTATATGTTTGAACTTTTTGGACAAGTAGAGTCAAACCGTATATACAATATCCATCCCATGAAAATCACGTAGAGAGGTGTGGAGCCTTTGACACTTAGAACATCCATGAAGACGAAACCATGCTTTTATAGTCACAACAATATATGTGTGGTTCCTCGGATGAAAAAGCAATGATTCCAGTCCAATTTGTCCCAACCTTCTGTCCAACCAAATAAGTACATTGTGAGGACCCAGGAAGAGAGAGAGAGAGAGATAAAAAAACAGATAGCTAAAGAGAAAGAGAGAAGAGGTATTGCAAGTTTCAACCCAACGTTGCTCCACTTATTCACTTGTTGATACATCTCTGCATGCAATGAAAATGCAGATTGTCACGAGCTACGTTCATAAAGTGTATGGCTCCCGCCAGCTATTGGTGACCACTTTATAATTTGAACTTGTCTAGTTTATGAAGCCTTGAATTACAACTTACAACATATTTCAACTTTGTTTCCATTCCCGTACCCCCTTCACGCTGCAATAATCTTAAACATGAAGATTGGCAAGAGAACCCAAGGGGAAGGTCGATGTTCCTTGGTGTTCCAAGTGCGTGGCTCCCGCCACCTATTCCCAGCCCTTCTCATGCAGACAAAAATCTGAACAGCATATGTGTTGTTTTTCAATATGTAGTACGATATAAAGTAATATTTATGTATATATGTTCATGTATATTGCATCAGAATGTCCATGATATTGGGAGATTATGACCTGGTTGGTGGTTTCAAACATTTTTTATTTTCCATAATATACGGTATAATCCTTCCCATTGACTAATATTTTTCAAGATGGTTAAAACCGCCAACCAGTGATTATGTATATGGTTTTCGCTTGACCAGCTGTAGCGACCTACACACTGAGAACATGGAACGATACGGAATGATACTTTGAACATACTGATGTTCTGACTGTGTTGGGATCCAAAAAAAACACTTGGAAGCTACTTTTGATGTTCTAACTATATCATTCCGAGGAAATTCCGTCGCTATAATATATATATATATATGTTACCCCCCCCTGAAACCAACCTTTTTGACATATTCATCAGATGGTTGGGTCAAAAGGGGGTTACCTTGCATACACGCTAAGGGCATTATTTATATATATATATATACATATTCTGATAGTGTAATAAGTATGCTATTGAGACTGATTGAACTTAACTTCAATGATAGCATTCTGGGAAAAATGCATTCAGAATGCATTCTCTGCATTCTGGGAAGAATGCATTCAGAATGCATAACCAAGAACCAAGAACCAAGATTTCCCCAAGACTCCTGAGCAAATCTTGGTTCGAACCAAAACCAAGAACCAAGAACAAAGATTCCCCCGAGCAAATCTTGGTTCAAACCAAAACCAAGAACCAAGAACCAAGATTCCCCCAGGACTCCTGAGCAAATCTTGGTTGTTTGGTATGATGATGATGCTGTTGTTTGGTATGATGATGATGCTGTTGTTTGGGGTGATGATGATGATGATGATGATGATGATGATGATGATGATGATGATGGTGATCATGATGATGATGATGATGAGGAGGAGGAGGATGATGAGGATGAGGATGAGGATGATGAGGACGATGAGGATCGTGATAGTGATTGATGATGATGATGTTGATGATTATTATTATGAGGATGGTGGTAGTGATGATGAGGAGGAGGAGGAGCAGGAGAAGGAGGTATGAGGAGATATGAGGAGATATGGGGATATATGATGAGATATGAGGAGATTGGGGGAGATTTGGGAAGATATGAGGAGGAGGAGGAGTAGGTAGGATGATGATGGTGATGATGTTGGTGATGACGATAATGATGAGAAGGAGGAGGACCTATGAGGAGGAGGAGGAGGAGGAGGATGAGGATGATGAGGATGTTGAGGATGATGAGGATGGTGGTTTTCATGGTGATGTTGATGGTGATGATGATGGTAATGGTGATGGTGAAGTATTGTTATCATCATGATCATGATTCATGTTGTTGCTGTTTCATCCGATGATAGCGCAGCAAGCCTGCAGCATTTTCTCTGCAGGAGATGAGGTCGAGAAGATCGCAGATGAGGTGCGCGGCAGGATTTCGGTACGACTTGGCCGCAGCGATGCAATGAAAAAACATCGGTTCACGTGCTAATTGCTTGCCATGCGTGGAGGAATGAATCGCATATCCAAATAACTACTGTAGGCCACCTGAGAGGCGGAAAGTAATGGTTACTGAATTTCCATTTTAGTCGATATACATTTTTCTGGTTGGTGCTTTCACCCACGACTTGCCGAATGGTACATACTACACTACCAAGCTGCTGGCCCCGCAGGTTGCTGATGTGAAAGTGGAGAGGAGACTTGAAACGGGAAACGATGCAATCGACTGCTAAGAATGGTTTGATTTGGTATGGAAACCAGTGGTCGTGGGTACAACCACGGCTTCACCAACCACAAGTTGGAAATGATACGGTTTCCCATCTGATACAGCCATTTCCAGGATGGACGAACATTGGTCAATAGTATATATAGTGGCACTCGAAGATGTGCTGGTATAGGACACTGTTTTCCGCCAAATGCTAAAGTTGTTGATATTCCCGAGAGGTTCCCATGCAAGCATGAAGTCGCCAGCGAGCATTGTGCAAATTTGTTAATTAACGATGGTTTGGACATGAGTGAAACTGTTATTCCCCACCTGCCAGGTGAGGGTTGTTAGATTTTATCAGAGCTGTTCTTCCGCCTCCTCCTCCTCCTTCTCCTCCTCCGCCTCCTCCTCCTCCCTCTCCTCCAGCTTCTCCTCCACCACCTTTGCATCCACTCCCATGTTCACTTCCGCCTTGCCAACTCTTCGCCAAGCTCTTCGCCAACTTCCGTACGCAGTGGGCACTGCTGGACCTCAACTGCAAGAGTCTGAGCGCACTGGGCACCGCTGGACCTCAACCTGGGACCTTCCGAGCTCAGTGATCACCGCTGGACCTCAACCTGGGACCCTCCGAGCTCAGTGAGCACCGCTGGACCTCAACCTGGGACCCTCCGAGCTCAGTGAGCACCGCTGGGCCTCAACCTGGGACCCTCCAAGCTCACCTCAACGGCCAGATAGAATGCCAGAAGATATGCCAGATAGAACGCCAGATAGAAAGTCAGAAAGAATGCCAGAAGATATGCCAGATAAAGTGCCAGAATGTTTGCCAGATAGAATGCCAGAAGATATGCCAGATAGAATGCCAGAAGGTATGCCAGATAGAATGTCAGAAGATTTGCCAGATAGAATGCCAGATAGAATGCCAGATAGAGTGCCAGAAGATTGCCAGAACATATGCCAGAAGATATGCCAGGTAGAATGCCAAAAGATATGCCAGATAGAATGCCAGAAGATATGCCAGATAAAATGCCAGAAGATATGCCAGATAGAATGCCAGAAGGTATGCCAGATAGAATGTCAGATAGAATGCCAGAAGGTATGCCAGATAAAGTGCCAGAATGTTTGCCAGAACATATGCCAGAAGATTTGCCAGATAGAATGTCAGATAGAATGCCAGAAGGAATGCCAGATAAAGTGCCAGAACGTTTGCCAGATAGAATGTCAGAAGATTTGCCAGATAGAATGCCAGATAGAATGTCAGAAGATATGCCAGATAGAGTGCCAGAAGATATGCCAGAACATATTGCAGAAGATATGCCAGGCAGAATGCCAGAAGATATGCCAGATAGAGTGCCAGAAGATATGCCAGAACATATTGCAGAAGATATGCCAGGCAGAATGCCAGAAGATATGCCAGATAGAATGCCAGAAGATATGCCAGATAAAACTCCAGAAGATATGTCAGATAGAATGCCAGAAGATTTGCCAGTAACAAAACGTATAGATGTCATGGTGGGGATAACTCGAAGTAAAGTAATTGTATTTTTTTGATTTGATTGTTTTACCCACAAGCTGTCCTCATACAAAGTTGTTCCATTCACCGGTGTTTTGTAACATTCCCGATTTTGGACCGACATACCAAGCCTCGAATTTGTAAGTTCAGGTATGAGTCGGTCTGACTTCCGACAGGAATCTTAGTTGTATACCGGTGTTTACTTGCATGAACCTTGTATAGTATATTGCGTTACTGTATTCTTCCATGGGGCATTCGGGAGATTTAATCCCTTATCTAACCGCAAACTGGCGGAATAATGTTGTGGTTTTTGGATGTTGTTTGTGCATTTCCTTGGCTGAACCCCCCTTGGCTGGTGAGCAATCCCTGGTTGATAGACCCGCAGGGTGAGGACTGAGAAGGTGGAAGTGGCCACAGACTTAGAGGCGAGATATGAGCGACAGATACTGGATGAAACTGATGCATCCAAACTATACTGATATATAATTTAATGATATATATATATATATATATAAATAATTTTCTATATTTATTTACATATATACACATATGTGTATGTGATTAGATATGTTCATATGTTATTTTGTATATACATATATAATGATAATATTTGTATACACGTATATTATATATATATATATGTATATTGTTATATATATATATATATACGATTAGTATATATATATATATACTGGCCGGCTTATTATTCGCTTACTTATAAAAACCACAGACTTAGCATCTAACCACGTCACGAATTTGGCACTATCCAAAGAAAACCTCCTCCTTTGGCAGGCCGTGAAGGATCCCGCAGATCCCGCAGCCTCGCACGCGCGGCTCCTGTTAAACGACGGAATGAAGGCGGCGGTGACCCACGGGGCCACAAAATGCATGGTTGATGGGCACAATGCAATGATGTGGTTTGTTTAATCCGATGCGGCAAAATCAAGACGTTTCAGATGGTTTGAGGATTTTCTGGGGTTTGAAGGCTCCTAAATTCCTAAATGGTAGGTTGAGAAAATGGGAGTGGCTATTGAGTTTAGTATAGTGGGGGCTCATTTGCATCCCAACCCACTGGGAGGATCCGAAACTAGTCAACCTTAGGAAACATGACATTTTCAACCAGGCTACTGATGGGACGTTTTCAGTGGGGCTGCTGTTCTATGTCGCCACCAAATCTTCAGAACCATAAACTGGCAGTTTTTTGAGATCTCTAGTATTGAACCTCCCGATTCATAGACTTTGGTTCTTGGATGTTCCTGGTATTGTTTTGAATACCCCCTTAAATATCACAGATGCACAAGACAATACCCCAAACATCCTATCACTTGCAAAATGATATTCCATCACATCGCATGAACCATGAACAAATACTGTTGTTGATTGGTTATGATCGGGGGTTTGACTACCTGGTTTATTGCGGATTGTGATGATCCATAATGGGGATACTCATCAACCAACCAGTGTACTGGGATAGGATAAGGGTAATCCGAGCAGTCCATGAGGCGGTCGCGGAGGACAGCGATGCCGTCAGCAACTGGTGCTGAGATTTTAAAAGGATGGACATAAGGACTGGAGACATGTGGAAAGATGCTGGCAAATTGAGATCTTAATCATATACCATGATATACCCATCTCAATGATGGGTGAACACAGCAACATGTTCTTGTTCTTTTCAAATAACCGTTGAAGCTAGATAAGTTAGATCTATTCTTGGGTGGTTTCTTGGTAAAAATGTGACCTCACTAGCCGACCGAGTCCGGGACATGATGGGCAGTGCGCTGGCGTGTAATTTGGGATGCATTCATAATGGCCTATGTTTGTTATACTATACACAGTCTATGTATTCATGTGTCTGGTATAAATTGCGTGTCGCTCTTCTTGATTGCAATTTCTAGACTCGGATGATCCGTTTGCAACTGGGGAAATGAGGATGATCCTATAGCAATGTTAGTGATGGATGCTCATCAGATGTACATGGGTCAACTTAGGTATGTACTCTTCGAAATTTCTGATATATCTGAAGGCGGATCCTGATGTTTGCCAACAATCTGGATGGGGATACACATATTGATCGTGTTCACTATTTGAATTGGACACACAGGTTGGCTGACATAAAGTCAACTATATGTATTTGAGGAAAAGTACCCAATGGCTGGGCCCATTGCTGTACCCATTTACGATCCCAACATTCTGCCAGAATGATCCGAATATGCCTAATTTTGGGATTGGCAAAGCCAGGCTACGATATGACGGTCCTAAGTATGTTGAGATGATGATTCCCACTTTGCTGTTGACACTGTTTGGGGGTTGACCTCACCAGCCAAATTGGGTTTCAATCCTACGCGGCTATAACCCATGATTTAAAAGGTCCTTTGTTTTTGGATGTTTTTGGTATTTCATATTCGGTGGAACGGAACAGACCATGACTTTACCATGGGAGATGGACATGTTCATAGGGATTTGCTGGTAAGGCAAGCAGCTTCAGCGACGGCAAGAGGCGTTGTTGCGCTCGAAGAGATTGAAGGTGGGGGGCGCGATCGTAAAACTGTATATGTGAGCAAACTTCCGAGTTCCGGACCAATGGTCGGTTTTCACATCATCGTGTCAACCACATCATGTCAAGTAGTTGGGAAGTGAAACAGTCCGGGAGTGTGTGAATTTGCGAGTGATTAATGGATGTGCGCGAATTATTGCGTTCTTGCGGTATGGTGGCTCAGGGGTCGGTAAGGGAGGGCTGTGTTTCCGCAGTTTCGGGCCTCGATCTGGGCTGTCGGTAAAAAGTGCACGAGACTAGCGAGAGCTCGGTTTGACAAAAAAATGATCAAAAACTGATGACCTCGGACTAAGCCTGACCGCTTTGGAAGGTCGGGAAAGAACATGTGCACAAGACCGTAGTGAGAGCTCGGGTGAAAAAATGCCAAGAAACCAGAGGCGCACAGACCAGCGCCGGATTTGCATGCAAGCTGTTTCAGGTCCGATTTTGTGCTGGTTTGAGGTGACAAAACACATCTGCACAGCTGCGCGCAAGGAAAAATGCTGCAATGATCATGCTATGCGAGACTGCAGCTGGAGATTGCTAAAGGCAGCGTAACAGCTGTGAGAAAGATAGTTTGCGGGCATGATCTAAGTGTAATTAGTGCTGTGCGGGGTTGCAGCTGAAAGTTGCTAAACGCATTGTTGTGGCTGAGTGAAGAGAGAATTGGGTTATATACAGATTCGAAGTTGCAGTATGGCTTAGAGAAGACGTATAGCTGAGAGAAGGAGCTCAGCGAAAAAGTAGTTCAGTGAAGAGGTGGCTTAGAGAAGAGGTGGCTTAGAGAAGACTTGGCTTCGGGAATGGGCAGCTTAATGAAAAATAGCTCATTCTTGTTCTTCGTTTGTTCACAGTTCGTTCTTTCATTGGTTCACTCATTCGTTGATTCACTGATGCATTGGTTCCCTCCTTCATTGATTCGTTTTTGGATTTTTCCCTTTCACTGGTTCTTTCATTCAAATGTTCACTCACTCAGTCACTCCCCCACTGATTCATTCATTCGTGGTGCATTGATTCTTTCAAGTCATTGATTTCATTTAAGCCACTTTATTGGCATCGCAAATACCGTCCGCTCACACACTGATGCACCCCAAAATCTCAATGTTTCATCGCTTCTGCATTTCATGGACAGTCCTATAGGCCAGTGATTTCTTATGGTCGTTGTTTTTTTTTGTTCGAACCTTGTGCCCCAGCACGGCCAGGCACGGTTGTTGTGGTTGTTGTTGTTGTCGCCGTTTCTTCGGGGATGCGATGATTTGTAGATTTTTTGGGACAACCCCTGTTGGGCGTGTTTGAAAATGGGGTATGCCTTCCAAATGTTTGTTTTAGTCATGAAAAAAATAAGCCAGTGTTTTTTTTGGTTACTTTGTCAAACGAACCTGTTTGTAATCATGGTTGCATAGAGGTAGAACTTGACAGAGTACGGAAATACCACGAAAATAGCTACATTATGTCACATCACTTATGATACTTAAGGTTTCGGTTGCTTTTGCTTGGATTTTGTTGGTGAATACCCACACAAGAGTCACAAGAGGATTTTTTGTAAGCAAACTTGAACTCTGTATAAACACACGATACATCACCAGAGATGAATGGTGAGTGGATAATTTTCCAATGCCAGGTTAGATTGCCAGAGAGGTCCAGAGGGTACGGTATGTACTTATGTTTTTTGGTTATATGTTTTCCGCCATGCATCGTTCTAGTCCGTCTTGAAGCATCTCGAAACTATGACTCTTGTGTAAACCAGAAAAATCATGAAAATATATAAAAGCTGCGCATTTATATAGGATCTAGGTTTGGGATTCCACATGTGGTATATAAGCTTTTTTGATCTAGCCAGATCCACATACCAATGGTTCCAACTTCGAAACGGGGCAGGGTCATGCAGGGATTGCAGCGTCTCCAGGAGATGATGTGTACCAGTCCAGCAACAACGATGCCATCAGAGGAGGCGTTTGGGGACGCTGCTTTCATGTTTTGGTTGGGGAACCCCCAAGAAGTGGATTGGAAAATGGAGGGGATTGAAATTCAATATGACAAAAACCCAAAATGGTGATACACCATCATGGGTACAACACCAAATCATAACAATTTTTAGGGCCCAGAAAATGCACGGTTTAATAGTAACAATAACCAATTTGGTGGATGAATTGGTGCCCTTTGTTTTGACGCATACCCAGCTGGAATCTTGGAAGACATATATACCCTGATCAAATTTGGGTTGACCAGATTCATATATACCATGCCATTTTTACCATATATACCAAGTCAACCCAAATTGGAAGACATATATACCATGCCCAAGTATGGTATTTTGATTTTTTTCGAATCAACCAGTTTTGTTGCCAAGTTGCCTGGCCGCAGGTGGACATCAGCAACTTGGCTGGGCAGCATTTGTCCAGTGAGGACATGTATTGGCAAAGTCTCTGGAAGGCCACCAAAGATTTGTGCCACTCTCAGCGGATATATGGCAGTGACTCACATAGCATCATGGATGCGGATATATGGCACTGGAAAACCACCAAGCACTGGATGGTTTGGCACAAAAAAACACGGCCAATTTGGCGTTGTCTATTGACAACACCATACAACACCATTTTTGTGCCATATCAATGTGTATAAGAGTCTCAGTGTGTGGACGATGTTGCCATGTTCACCGAGGATGCATGAGAGTTCAGAAGAGGACTGGCCTTTTCGAGAAAATGCGTTTATAATCGACATGTGAACTGTTTTCACTGTGTGCATCGGCTCTTTCTACACATGTATAATATAATTCTAGGTTATTGGGTTTGTATGGAGTTGTTTCTGAAGTCACCCGGTTTTCGACACAACATTTGACAGACAACCCATTAATGTCCATTGATATGAGCTATAGCCAAAATTTACCGCAATGGAAAGTAGTACTCGAGGCATCTTTATTTTTCGGAAGTTGAGCTGGGGCTTGGAAAACGATAAGACACTCTTCAAAAAACGATAACATGTGCTATATTCCTAAAAACCTGAAAAACGAAAAAAAAACACTCTTCAAAAATTAATGACTTGGAGCTATATACTAAATATTGCGTTGTTTTTCACCAGAAAAACCAAGTGGTTGTCACTGGATGTGTTTGTGTCAGGATCGTGGGGACTTTGACGGTTTACTTCCTGGAGTCCCAGGGTTCCTTGGATCAAAGGGACACGGCATGGCTGCTTAACCTCTGTTGGTTGATGATCAGTTTGGGCCTTGTTCTACTTGTAGCCAGTATATGTATATATAATTATGTATAATATATGTATATATAAGTTATATAAGTGTATATGTATGTATATTATATACTACACATACACACACATATATATATATATATAGGTATGTATACACGTATACACGTATATACATATATATATATATATGTGTTGAGATACATTGGGGATTATCATCATCCATTACGGTAATCCCTCTAGCCAGTTTAATGCGAGAAAATGATCTTGTAATGGTGAATTTTTGCCATGGTCTGGTACGGTTGGACTTCCACGGATTCCAAGGTCAGTGGAACTGCGGCCTATGCTTTGAGGCTGGACCCAAAATACCCTCTGGTAAACCAACAAAAAGCTATTGAAAATGGTGATTTATAGTGGATTTACCCATTGAAAATGGTGATTTTCCATAGTTATGTTAGTTTACCAGAGCGTATGTCTAGCATTGTTTAGCTGTATACTGGGATCGTTTCCCTGAAAAACACCCGGCAAGACTGCATCTGGATTTTTTGATGGATCTGGATTTGCGATCCACTTTGTTCCGAGCAAAGTCAGGTCAAGAAAAGCCCTCCAAATTTCAGATGTTTAAGAACCACTTGAGGACCAGGGTTCAGGGCAAGAACATCCTTGGAATCAGGAGAACTTTGGAAAGTCTACTTATACATGTACATTTATTGGTATACATATATGTACATTTATTGGTGTACATATATATATATATATATATGTATATACATATATGTACATATATATATATATATGTTTATATATATATATACATATATCATATATATATATACATACATATATATAAAATGTATGTATATGTATGTATATGTATGTATATGTATGTATATGTATGTATATGTATGTATATGTATGTATACGTATGTATATGTATGTATACGTATGTATATGTATGTATATGTATGTATATGTATGTATATGTATGTATATGTATGTATATGTATGTATATGTATGTATATGTATGTATATGTATGTACATATATGTATATGTATATATATATATGAATGTATGTATGCATGCATGCATGCATGTATGTATGTATATATGTATATATGTATATGTATGTATTTGTATGTATATATATAAATAAATGTGTATATATATATATGTATATATATATATGTATATTATATGTTTATATATGTATGTATATGCATATGTAGGTAATTATATAATATATGTATGTATACATATATATATATATGTATATATGTACGGATGTATGTATATATATATATATGTATGTATATATATATATATATATGTATGTATATATATATATGTATGTATATATATATATATATGTATGTGTATATATATATATATGTGTATGGATGTATATGTATATATCTGATATATATATATATACATATATGTATATGTATATATATATATCCAATGCGTGTGCAGGTTTGGATGGTTTTGCTTCTGGCGTGATTCGGTTGCCACTGGAACAGCGTTTGGTCGCTTTTCTTTGCATATGTGGGATTGTCAGTGAATCCTGTCACAGGCGTAACAACCCAAGCACTGTACAAAGGCCTTAAAAGCGTGAGAGTCTTGCACGCCTAAACCATATGCATATACATCCATTGAGTTACATTACGTTACATCACATAACATTACACTACACTTACAGTACACTATCTACATTATCTAGGTTACTACATTAATCATCTTTCATTATCTAGATTATCTGCATTATCTAGATTATCTAGATTATCTACGCTATCTACATTGTCTACATTATATGCAGTATCTATCATTGCTGCATTTTCTTATATTAATGTATATAACTATACATTATAAGCATTGCATACATTATACTACAGATCATATACAATTTATATGTTAGATACATTGTATAGAGTGTATGCACCGTGTATATATAATAATTATTTATAAATATATATATATATATGGATATTCAAATATATACATATATATATATATTATACATTCCATGCATTGTATACATTTCATGCATTTCATGGATTTACAGATTAATGTAGATTAATAGTTTTATTATATAGATTATATAGATTATATGCACTATTTGCATGTTTTGCATTATATACAGTATATACAGTATATACAGTATATACAGTATATACAGTATATACAGTATATACAGTATATACAGTATATACAGTACATTATTTACATTATAAACATTATATGGGGCATATAGATTATATACATAATATTATATACATTATATTGTGAATTGTATGCGTTCTCACACAAACACATCAGCATGATTGACAATAATTGATAATATTTAACAGCCTTCGGCGTGTTCCACCCGCCACCATGGAAAGAGCTATCCTGCAAGCCGCAAACAGCTCTTGCACAGGCCCAGCAAGAACATGGTTTTTGTGTGAAACAGCTCTTTGTGGTAAAGACGGTTTTGACGCAAAAACATTGGTTTTGTTCAAACCACGGTTTGTTTAGATTTAAACCAAAGTATGTATGTGTAAACCAGGCTTTTGGAAAAGGCCATAGTGAGAAAGGTTTTGGAAAAGGCCATATATAGAAAGGATATGCGTGCAAAAGGTCTTCGGCACAAAAGCCAGTCGGTCAAGTATCGGATATACGAAGCGACGGAGCAAACACGACAAAAATAAGGAAACAACCCATCGAAATGACAGCGAGATGTGCAAAACCAAGCCGGTGTTGAGCGAGGCGTGGGCAGAGTTGAGCACAACGTAAGGAAAAATGAAGACGAAACAAAGAAGAGCTAGGGGGAGGGGGGGAGGCGGCGGGGTGGGTTCAAGTTAGACGAGGCAAAAATCCGCGCCAAAGGGAAAAGTCTAGACAAAGACAAAGACAAAACAGACGCTACAACTACGAACAAGCAAGATCTACAAGACACGCCGGCAGGCTGGCGGATTCAGAAGGTAGTGTACATCGACTGGCCCGAAATTGAATCACTTCGCCTGGTGACTGCTTGTTGACTGACAAGAAACCCCCACAAAATCATTATTCAAAAAGGCTGTGTTGCAGTTTAGGCGATGATTTTCCACAGCCTTTTGTTTGCGCAGATTGTGTATGGTAGTTCCCACCATCACTGCAACAGGAGGACAGTTTGTTGGAAGTGTTCTCTTGTGAATCACCAAGATCCAACAATTTATTGCGCAAAGAGGAATCACGGATCCGAACTGAAATGCAGTTTAAACGTACGAAGAGTCTTCACTAAGACTGCGTCAAGTGTTAACTGCTGTTATTTGTCTATTGCTTCATGGCGATCTTTGCAAAACACTCAGAAACACCTCTTTGCTTTGACCGGCCGTATCCTGGGCCGGTCCATTGCCTGAATCCTGTCCTTAACCCCCGAAGATGGGGACGATTTCCATGGGATTCATGGAGTCGGCGGCAAATTTCTTATTGCCAAAGGCTCGCTTTTTAGCTGCAGCCATGCAGCAGCTGCCACTGATTTCAGGATCTGGCTACCATTGGTTGATGGGAGGATGTTCAAATCCACAAGCATTTATGGTGGGTCAAAATTGGAGAACAACGGAGAGACCACATTGGTTCTTTTCACCGTAAAGCAATATAAAACCAAGTTGAACCAGGATTTTGATAAAAATTCAATGATTCATAGTTTGAACCATGACAGTTGACTTAGAAGTTGAATAATGTTGACATTTTTGACCCACCGCCTTTTTGAAATGTTCAACCGTCCGACACATCTTGGGAGGATCCCTTGGCTCCCTGAAAGTTCCGCCTAAACAATGGTAGGACAGTGGTCCAATGGCGAACAGGTCGTGGGTCTATTCCAATTGTTGTTTCACTGGATCAAGGTTGTTAAATTGCCGTGCTTTACACCCAGATATAGTGATTTGTACTTGGGTTAGTTTATTTCTTTCGGGTTTTTGCAGTGTTTCATGACATACTGTAGGGAAAAATTGCAGCCAGCATGTCAAGATGCCTCAAGACACACCGTGGTTGGGCCAATTCTCACACATGCAATGTGCCCTCAATCCAAACAACCTCTATATAATGTGGGCTGTCATTCGCAATTGCCCAATACCTTTTGAGGATCATGTACCGATTCTTGACTAGGTGCTGAATTTAGTTTTCATTTGGAAGACCAAGCCTTGCATAGTTTTTAAGGAGGGTGAACGTAAGATGCATCAATTGAGTGTTGGCGGATGTATGCTGATATCTTTGCTAAAGCAGCCACGGTTTTATCAGTTGTTATCAGTTGTTTATCATTTTTCCCCAACCTTTTGCAAAAGTATCATTCATCGAAACCAACAGCTGGTCCCCCCAGAAAGTCCCGAAGGGGTTAAGGATATCTAGGCCATGAAGCTATGATTCCAGAGCGATTCTGGAGATGTTTGGGAAGATTTCAAAGTATTTTGGGGATGGGTTAGTATCCTAATTTACACTATTGATCTAACTGTGGGATGTTTATTTCACACGAACCAGCTCAATGTTGCGTTTCAAGGGATCAAGCTCATCCACCGGTTCCCAACATCTCCCCCGCAGTGCGTTGTGGTCTCAAGCTGCTCTACGTTGGAAACCATCTCAAATAGCCATGGGCTGCGGTGGAAGTACCAGCATCTTGGCAGCTTGCAGGCTCTCGCTATGCCGGGCCCAAAGAACTATGCTAGATGAGTTAGAGTCAGTTGGAGTGTCAGACAAAATGTCAGATGTCACAATATTTCACCATATTTCTTCAGGTAGAATGCTGGATCATGCCGAACAGAAATTTAGATAGAATGTCAGACTGTAAATGTATGTCAGATAGAACGCATTAGAACGGCATTCGGTGGGGATCACTCGAATTAAAGTATATCCTTTAAAGATGCGGATAAACATGGATAAACTAATTATACATGCGAAAATTTGTGCACTTGCGCATACTCTTGCATATTTTCCGTTTTGATCCAATTGTGCTATATAGAATTTACATTGAACATGCTTGATAGTTTTGCAGTCAAGTAAGGCTACGCGCAGGCGTCGCGTCGTTTGCTCTTTGAGCAACTGAGGTTTTTCCTGAGGTCAGTTGTTGTTTTCAGCTGCTAGGTTTACAATAATTAGCCCTGAAATGATAGGTTTCAACTAATTTGGGTGGGAGGATTGGGTTTGGGAGGATTCTTCGTCCCATCCTCAGGAGTCATCGGATTTCGATGGATTTCGGGGTGGCAAGTGACAGCGACAGCCCAATTTATGGGTTGCCAAGAAATCAAATTCATTTGGGCAATAGTTGCAACCCTTTGGGGCTGACCTCACAGATTTAATGATGGATTTTTGGTGACCTATTTCAGATGTTTGGAAGTTGCTCAGATCGTGGAAACAGATTGGCAAGAGCAAAAACAAGACAACATCCGCAGAGATGGTTATGTCAATCAGCATACCTTCTGTAACATCACATGGCAATGGAAAATCCACTATTCATCGATTATTTTCCCATTAAACTAAAACCTCCATTTATAGGGAATATTCAATTGCCATGTGTGATTACTGGAGGGCAAGTAGCAAATCCGACCTTGCTTTTGCCTGTTGTCCAACATCTGGTATCTTCGCCTTGCAACTTTAGCCCTCAACGATACCAAGGCAAACGAGTCCTCAACGATGATGTCAAGGCCAAATTGGAGGCACGTCTCCATGAGGGAATCCCAGTGGGATAGAACCATCAAAGCAATCCAAAGCATACCAACATATACCAAGCATATCCAGCCATGTGATTTTTTTCAGCAACATTTCGGATTCTAAGCATGAAACGATGGGTTGATCTTTTTTATTGGGGAACATGATTCCGAATGTCGATTCCGAATGTCAAGTGGCTGGGGTTACTAAGCCAACAGTATGGGCAGCCAGAAAATCGCTGGCGTTTTTGTCGTTTTGGTATCACAATGGGACGGGTGCGATGCAGATAACCAAAACTACACTTAGGCAATTAGGCGTATATATAATTATATATATATATATGTATATGTGTATGATCAGATATGTGTACAGTGTAGACTATGTCACATGTAGCATATATGTTTGTATATGTGCTGCAGCCATTTTAGTGCTTTCAGCTACCTTCGAGCTGACTGAGTGAAAAGGTGCTGATCAGTGCTCAGGAGTGTTCATCAGATTTAAGAGCCCAAATTCTCTGTTCATGGTAGCGGAGCTGAGGTTCTGATACCCAGCTGTGAATGTGTAGGTGTCAACGCCGAGCTGCATCAGCTCTGGCGCGCCTACCCAGTGCCAACTGGAAAAGGTTGACACTCAAGCTCCTGAAAATCAGGAAAATCCAAAGATACTTCCATAACCTTGGAGTGCATCTCCAAAGGTACCCAAGGGTTCTCTTGAATCAGGTCTCAAAGCACCTGAAGAACGACTAAGGATGGCTCAGCAACAGCAGCCACCTCAGCAACCAGGCACTCCACCAGCACCAGCACAAGGACAGACCAACGGTCCCAACATGTCCCAAATGGTTATGCAGATGATGGCCCAATTGACTCAGGGTCAGGCGCAGTTGAATCAGGCAATGACCGAGGCTATGAACCAGCAGCTACAGATCAACAGAAATGTTGAGAGGTCTGTTGAGTACAAAGACAGATCAGAGTTGAAAGGCATACCAAAACCTGACAAGTTCAATGGAGCATCAGGCACTTGGGATAGTTGGTGGTACAAGTTTAAGACATGGGTTGAAAGTTGCCACAAGAATGCTGTGAAGATTGTGGCACAAGTCGAGTCTCAGTGTGACAAAGAGATCACTGAGTCAAGTCTAGAAGTAGACTTTGATGAAGGCGCCGAGCTAGTTTCAGCTCAGGCTAGACAAGCCCTCATATCATTGACTGAGGGAGAAGCGTTGGAAATTGTCAAGAACACATCTCGTGGTAGCCACTTTGGCCTAGAAGCCATGAGACGACTGTTGTGCAAATATGATCCTCAAAATCCTCAAGCCAATTCAGCCTTGTTGAAAAAGGTTCTGCATCCAAGTCAATGCAGTCTTGATAAGCTTCGAGAAGGGCTTGAGAGTTGGGAGAACTTGAAAAGAAAGTACGAAGACAGGAGAAAGAAACCACTTGAAGATGACATCTGCAGGAGTTGCTTGCAGCAGATGTGTCCCAACAAGTTGCAAGATCATTTGGACTTGCAGGCTTCGAGATTGACCACGTATGACCAGGTGAAAGCTGAAGTTTTGGCCTACCTTGAGAACGTCGAGACCAGGAAAGAAGCAAAGTCAGGAGCCGTTCCCATGGATGTGGATTCCCTTGCTAAGGGTAAGGGAAAAGGAAAACATGATAAAGGGAAAGGCAAAGGTAAGTCCAAAGGTAAAGACAAAGGAAAGAGTCAGTCTTCGTCTTGGTCAAACAATTCATACAACAAGTCTTGGAACAATCAGTCTTGGAACAATCAATCTTGGAATCAGCAGTCTTGGTCTAAACAGAATACCAATGACTCCAAGAGCAAAGGCAAAGGTAAGAAAGGTCAAGACAAAGGTAAAGGAAAAGGGGATCAAGGCAAAGGTCGTAAAGTTGCTAATGTTGAGTCTGACACTTGGGCTCAAGAGCAACAACCTGCAACCTCATCTGGTGATCAACCTGAACCAGAGATCACTGCGCTGTTTGCCTTGGAAGACACTATGCCACCCAAGTCTGAAGCTCGAGATGAATCTTCTCGTTGTGGTCGAAGCCCAAGACGAGCAAACCTTCAAGCACCTTCAAGGAGCACTGTGACCAGGAGCGCTATCGTCATGGCTCAGAGCGCTTTGGCATCAGCTTCTGGGTCTAACAAGGAGCTGTTTGGCAAGATGATTGCTCAGGCTGAGAGCGCTGTCAAAGAAGCTCAGGACAAAGGGCATCAAGCAAATCAAGCTCTTAAGGAACGCCAAAAAGCCCTGGACAAGTTGAAGAAAGAGGCAGCCCAGCATCACAAAGAGGCCAAAGAGGCAATGGCCAAAGTGAGGGCAGAAGGCCGTGCTGCTTCAGCACCGGCTGCACCCTCTCGTCGGATGCAAGCCGACCTTGATGCTGGGGTACATCCAAGAGCTGCCAAGAAGAAGGAGAAGGACAGGCAGAGAGCTGCCAGTCATCGAGCAGCCACTGCTGGACAAAGAGCATCCAGCTTCAAGCGCTATGAGTTGGCCACCTTTGGACAGGCCAACCCCGACAAGTGGGACCAGGATGACATGGGAGATCTTCCTGAACCTCCCAAAGCAAGAAAGCTGGAACCCAAGCGCCATAGAGGAGGACATCACAGGTCTGAAAGACGAAGAGCAGATGAAGCAAGGAAGAAGGCCAATAAGGAGAAGATGAAAGAGATGAGCAAGGATGAGATCCCACAATGGATCCATGACAAGTGTGAGATTTCCTCTGAGGAGAGCATTTCCTCTGAAGGATATGAGTCTGTCAGCAGACTTGAAAAGCTGAAAACCGATCCTGAAGTCCTCAGCAAGTTGGACAACGTCTTGAAGGAAGCCTACGAGAAAGCCTATGGTGAAGTTCTTGACCTAGGATCTTCTGATGAGACAGATCCAGACGATGTGCCCTACAACCAGGAGCCAGCACCAGGCATGGAGGATGTGGTCGAGCATTGGCAGAATTCCTTTCGAAGACCCATTCCATTCAAGGAGTTGCATGAGAAGTGCAAAACTGTCTCCAACAAAGGGTATCCCTATGTGAAGTGCCAGTCATGTGGAAAGGCACTCAACTCCGCGAGCGTTGCAAGCTTTTGGCAACATGTGGAGAACAAGCAATGCTATCCTCAGTATGCCCTGGAGTTTTGGAAGAAAGAACATCGTCAGGCAAAGGCAGAGAGAGAGGCACGAGAAGAAGGAGAATCATCCCAGAAGCGCCCCATGGATGATGCAGAAGCCAAAGATGAGAAGAGGCGCCAAGAGATTGCCAAGGATGAAGAAAGGAAGAAGCGCAAGCAAAGCTTTGAGGAGCACTACGAGCGCTTCAGGCACAAGGGCAAAGATGAAGTGAAGCCCGAGGTGAAGAAGATCCCCAAGAGGCCAGGGGAGAAAGAGAAGGTCGAGGAGAAAGAGAAAGAAGAAGAGAAAGAAGAAGAAGAGGCACCCAGAGCACCCATCGAGCTGAAGTCCAAATCCCCATCGAGAGCGCCTGAGGACAGCCGGGCTGATTCAGCCCAGGCGTCCAAGGGCAGGGGAAAGTTCAGCATGGGCACCAAGAGATTCCTGGAGAAGACGGTGCGTGATGCAGCCAACTACATGGAAAGAAAAGCCAGGAAGAAGAGGGAGAAAACGCCATCTCCCAAGCCCAGGGAGCACTCACCAGGTCGATCAGACTCCAACCTTGACTTCCTGGGAAGTTTGGCATCTCAGGTGGATACCATTGTCTGGGCCACCGTTGGCTCAGGGGCAGCAACCAGTTGCCTACCCAAGGAATTGGCACAGTCATTGGAGTTGGCTATGACACCTGTGGATGAGAAGCCGTTCACCAACGCATCAGGGCAGCCAGTCCAGGTGCATGGGGTGTGCAACCCTATGGTGACCATGGGTGAGAAAGGAGGCCCACAAGTCAAAGGTGTGGGACAGTTCCGGGCAATGGATGTTGCAAAGCCATTGTTGTCTGTGTCCAAGCTGGTTGAGAAAGGCTGGACAGTAACCTTCGGCCCCAATGGATCGTTTCTGCAAAGGGGAGCCAAGAAGGTTCCAGTCACCATGACTGGAGGTGTTTTCAAGATAGCCATGGATTTTCATGGGCAGCCCACAGAAGGGTTGAAGGCGTAAGTCCTGTGGAGACCACAGAGAGCGCAGGTAGTGGAGATGATGAACCGGGCAGTAGTAAGCTAGGTTCTCAAGCGCTACCAACTGCAGCAGCGCCGACGCAGAGAGAAAAAGAAGAGCATTTTGTCAGCCATTATCCTTTTAGGAGTTGGTGTGAACATTGCATTCGAGGTAAGGCAAAGGCAATGAGACATGTCAAAGTAGATCATTCAGATGAAACAGTTCCTGTGATCTCAGCTGACTATTGTTTCATGAATTCAGTGGATGACACTGTCATCACAGAAGAAGTGCAGAAAAAGCATGCACCAGTTTTGATAGTACATGATCGATGGTCCAAGTTGACCTACGCACACGTTTTGCCATACAAGGGAGTTACCCAAGGTCCTATTGGATCTAAGTGTCTTTTGAATGACCTTAAGAAGTTTGGGTACCCCAAGATGGTCATGAGGTATGACCCAGAGCCTGCACTCAACTCCGTAGTTGAGGCAGCCAAGAATGGTTTTGACAAACAGTTGGTTTTGGAAAAAGTTCCCAAAGGAGTCTCAGAATCCAAAGGGGAAATTGAAAGAGCAGTTCAAGCTATTGAATCTCAATCCAGGACACTCAGAAGTGCCTTGGAGACAAGCTATGGAAGAAAGGTGCCAGACGACCACCCAGTTTTGACATGGTTGGTTGAACATGCTAGCACCACTTACAATTTGTTTCACAGATCATTGGAAGTCAAAGATGGGAAGACACCGTACTCTAGACACCGTGGTCGTGAGTGGAGAGTGTCATTACCACCATTTGGGGAAACAATTGAATTCCTCAAAAGAGGTCACAAGTTTGAACAAAGATGGCACCAAGGAGTTTTCTTGGGAGTCAAAGACTCCTAGTTTAGGAGATGAAGTCATCAACGCGCCTTTGATTGATGACGCAGATATCGTCACTGAACTGTGGTACTCAGCCACAGGGGAATCTGCTCCAAGTTTGCCAACAGCTGGACCTGCTATCGCGAGGCAGAGTCCTGCTACCGGACAAGCTGCAGATCCACCTGCAGAAAGCGCAAGCGCAAGCACAGCCTCAGCCAAGAGGGCAGGAGGCGAGCAAGAAGAAAGAGCACACAAAAGGTTGGAAATGTCTCCAACCAAAGGTCGGAAAAGACCTGCAGACTCAGGAGGCGAAACGTCAAAGTCCAAGGACAGCCGAGCTGCTTCAGCTCAGGCGTCTAAGGGCACCAAACGGCCACCTGAGAATGAGAGACCAGAAGACATGGATGACATAGACCAATGTCTTATGAACCTGATCATGGAAGATCGGGAGAAGTACCTTCAGTCCATTGAAGGTGAAGAAGAGCCAGTTTGTGAAGAGACAATTCCTCTTCCACCAGAACTGGAAGATGAAGCAGCCACATGGTATTATTACGATGATATCAGTGGAAAGATTTTAGACAGCAAAGGTGTAGAACAAGCCAGAAAAGATGAGGTCGAAATCATCGAAAGTTTTCCAGTTTGGGAAAAGATTCCCAGACACAAGATGCCCAAAGGGGTACGCACCATTGGAACACGATGGGTAGATGTCAACAAGCAGGATGAAGAGAATCCACTTTATAGAAGTAGGTTAGTAGCTCAAGAAGTCAAGAAGGGCTCAGGTTTTGATGAGTTCTTCGCAGCTATGCCCAGTTTGTCGGCTTTGAAGATGCTAGTTACAATAGTCGTCACGTTTCAGTTGCCAGACGCTGGAAAAGCTGTCAAGGAAGCCTATCGCAAGCGTAGACTTCTAGGATTTTTGGATGTGAAACGCGCCCACTTTTACTCAGATGCGACGCGTGAGATCTATGTGGAACTTCCTGCAGAAGCAAAGAAGCCTGGAGAAGATGTGGTAGGAAGATTGCTCAAGTCTTTGTATGGAACCAGAGACGCACCTCTCAACTGGGAGTTGCAAATACAGAAGGTTATGTTAGCCTTAGGTTTCAAGCAAGGAAAAAGCAATCCATGCATTTACTACCATGCAGGCCGAGACCTCAGAACTGTTGTACATGGAGATGATTTTACAACAGCCGGAACATTTGACAACATCAAATGGCTTCATGAAGAGCTGTCGAAGAAGTGGAAATGTGTGGAACGTGGTATTTTAGGACCACCAGGAACACCAAACACCATCCAGGACATCAGAGTCCTGAACAGAATTATCACATGGAAGGGGAATGGAATTTGGTGAGAACCAGATGCACGTCATGCAGAGTTGGTGATTGATTTACTCGGAGATGGTCCCCGAGGAGCCAAAGTCAAGACACCACTTGCCAAGGGTTCAGTGGAAGACCTCAAGAACGCCACTGTTTTTCTCAATGATGAAGAAGCAACCCAGTACAGATCAGTTGCAATGCGAGCAGCCTATTTGGCACAAGATCGACCAGATCTGCAAGTAGCGACAAGATCTTTAGCACAAGGGCTACAACGACCAACTACCAGCCACATGCTTATGCTCAAACGAGTTGCACGATACCTAAGGTATCGACCACGCATGGCACAATTCTTTCCTCATCAGAACAAACTCAGTCCATTTGTGATGTGGTCTGATGCTGACCACGCTGGTTGCGTGAAGACGAGGAAGAGCGTGTCAGGAGGCGTCCTGATGGCCGGAGGTTGTTGTATCAAGACTTACTCTAAAGGACAAGGAGTAGTCAGTCTTTCGTCTGGAGAGAGTGAGTATTACGCTCTTGTGAGCGGTGCCAGCAATTTGCTGGGAGAAGTTTCAACCGCCAAAGACTGGGGTTTGCAACCCGAGAGTGAAGTCTTCATGGACGCAAGTGCAGGAATAGCAATGGGTTCTCGCAGAGGACTAGGCAAGGCCAAGCACGTGGATACTCAATACCATTGGGTACAAGACCGCGTTGCCAAGCGCTATTTTCGGCTGAAGAAGGTCGACACTGGCGATATGCTTGCCGACGTCTTGACGAAACCTGTCATAGAAGAGAAAATGAATAAAGCCTTGCGAAATATGAATTTTCACTTTCTGGAAGGTGAGCATCACCTGACACTGAGAGCATAGATGGCTTGAGCGTGGCTATGAGTAGCTGTACATATCAAAACTCGCCTAGTTCAAATAATTGGACGGGAGCGCCGTTTTTAAACAGGCTCGGGAGGCGTGATCAGATATGTGTACAGTGTAGACTATGTCACATGTAGCATATATGTTTGTATATGTGCTGCAGCCATTTTAGTGCTTTCAGCTACCTTCGAGCTGACTGAGTGAAAAGGTGCTGATCAGTGCTCAGGAGTGTTCATCAGATTTAAGAGCCCAAATTCTCTGTTCAGTGTACATACATATAGATATACAGTACTGTAACCAACACCGGCTATATTCACTAGGATTTAATGCAATACAATTGGATATAATGTTAATAATTACTGTCTCGGCTTTTGTTATGCGATGAGTCATGCCGAGCTTCAGTGACAGAAATCTGGCCAGCTTGGGTTGAACTTTCGACCTAGCCCAGTCATTGATGCTTCAGTTCCCCAAGCTTAAGTCTGAAGTGATGATGTGTTGAGGGCATTAAATTTAGGGAACATCCTTTCCGAATCCTTACCTCATGTAGTATCCCTGCTGAGGGCTGGTTGAGTATTTGCTTTTGAAAAATCCCCCAAGAAAATGGATTGACCTTCTTCTTTTGTTGTGACTTTCATGTCCTTTTGGGTGATCAAAACCATCAAGTAGTGAACCTTCATGAATAGATAGATTTTGCTGGTGGCCGGGGTGATTGGTGCATGCAGCAGGCAGCATATGTGCCGCTATGCTCTAAAGGTTTGTGCGGCACTATGTCATGTTCGTTGGTACTTGCACGCATTTTTTCTGCTACTTTACGGAAAATCTAAGCTTGCCTAAACTTGCACACATCATCGCTCCTATAGCAGGGTTGATTTGCTCCTGAACACCTCACAAAACTGTATGCTCACCAATGAAGAAGAGATCTACATCCTCATTTTTGGTATTGGACTTGCAGTGATGCCCATGGGGTTAGCCGGGCGCAATATGGCGCAATGGTGAGTTCGTTGGTTGGTCCCCCATGAAGTTTGTCCCTCAGCTGCGCTGCTAGGAGATGTTCAGCAATATAGATGTGGACAAGAACGGCACGATCACTAAAGAGGAGGCTAAAGATGGGGGGTCGACATGGTGAAACACCATCCTGAAAGGGGGATGTACTATGCAATGTTTGTATGTATGTTATCTTATGTTATGTTTTGCAATGTAATGTTATGTTATGCATTTATGTATATAATTTATTTTATTATATATATATATACATACATATATATATAATAATATATATATATATATAGCCATAGCCAATTAAATGCCTTGAAATCCGACACCAAGTCGTGTGCTTGTCGATCCGATCCATTCCACCGTTGCACAATTCACTCACAAACGGGGCGTGCTATTGAATCTTCATACGGATCTTAAACATGGGTCATTAAATGTCCCCATTGAACATCACCCAACCATTAGGTATATGGTCTATAATGGCTACTATAAGGTGATGTCCAATATACCCAAAATGGGACAGTTACCAACCCCTGTTAAAGGGATGATGTGGATTTCAAGCTGTCCTTTTGATGGGAATATATCGCCTATATCACTCTGATGTGGATTTGACTTTGGTAATGACTTTGATTCCTTTTTTTTTTCCCAAAAAGTAAGTGTCCGGAAAAAAATTGGTGGTTGATCATGGTTTACCAATGTTTATCATGTGTACCTTATTTTTGGACAAAGCCATTAGCCAAGAAAACAACTGGGGAATTGACCATTCTTAGCACCCAAGTGATGAAATGTTTGCCAACAAATCCTGGGTATGTGTATGTGAATCAGAAAATGAGGGAACATCAACAGAAGAATGGATGCAGACCAAGAAACTATGGTGGTTATAGGCAAAACAAGCATCGGTCATGTCCTCTTTCACGCATGGAAGCGTCAGGACTGAAGCGACCTGTAACCAGCGTGCCATGGAGAATCCTCCATTTTCTGTTATGTTCCTATGAAAAGAATTGAAGAGCTGTGGATTTACGCAATTTCGCAGGTTGATTCCGGAGGGTATACGCAATTTGTCATGGCATCCAACCGCAAAAATACCCGGACACCGAGACTGAGATATACTGAGATGGCCTTCAACGCCAGCTGTTTTTCAGTTTCTAGACTCTCATCCGAGTGGTTCAACCCCAGAACCAGGGGATTCATAACCAGGTTTATCGGTCATATCTCCAGGAGATCCCCTTATTGATGGATGGTGTTGCTGTGACTCTGTGCAATTTTCGGGTCATGAATCACGAACTTATTTTAAAACAGATGAACAACCAAAAAACCCTCATATCTCTTTGATTTCCCCATGATTTCCTCATGCTTTCCATATCAAGTCATAACCCAAAACCGGTCACCTCTCAGTCTGCCAGGCTCACAAGTTCTTCACAAGCTTCTCCAAGGCCTGAAACAAAGAGGGCGAGCCGCGGCTAGCCTAGCCATTTTTGACTACCAAAGGGTACGAGCGTAAGTTAAAGGAAAAATATACATTGAATTCCCCCATGCTTTGCTGATTTTTTCCACTCAATTCCCAATAAATTAACATTTTGCTGGTGACATCTGGTGTCTGTGATTCCCGGCCACAAAAATGTTCAGGTGAATACCAAAGCCTTCTTCGATGAGGTCGATGCAGATAAGAGCGGAAGTATCTCCAAAGTGGGGTCGCCTATGGTCGCCTTCACTCGGCTCCAGAAATTTGGATGATTGTTGCGGGGATTTCAAGGGGAGTATAGGGGAGTTAAGCCATAAACATAGATATTAAGCTTTGTATAAACATTGCAATTAGAGTTGGAGTTCAGCAACAGGATTTTTTTTTTGGGAGCTCAGCAACAAGCCAAGGAGCCTTGGGGTTGGCTGGAGTTCACAATCAGAACACTAGGGTTTTGCTGGGATTTACCCTCTGGTAAACTAACATAGCTATTGAACATTGCCATTTATAGTGGATTTTCCCATTAATAATGGTGATTTTCCATAGTTATGTTAGTTTACCGGAGGGTAAGGCATATTGGGACTTCTTGGGGTCCCGTTGAAAGAGCGCTCCCCCCGACTGAGGCCGAATTCATGGGCTTCTGGGATCAGGTGCGGAGCGGTTCCATTTTTTTGTGGCTGGTAGTTACCCTGTAATCATGGAATTTACATGGGTATGGGTCAAAACCTATGACTGCCATATTTTGGGGAATAAACAGGCATAAATCCCATCTATTTAGGTTCCCAGGGTACCAGGGTTTTGACCCATCCCCACATGAATTTACATACTGTATGAGAATCGAACCATGCCCATAGTAAAACATAGATAGAGATAGTAAGTATAGTAGTTACATGTAGTTACTGTATATCTACTTACGGTTGCAACGAAAGAATCCACCATAGCCATATGTATGTCTGAGTCCCGATAGAGTCCTCATCAAGTCCTAGCGATGTTTCGACATGTTGCAACCCCATGAACAGTCCTGGAGCCTTTCGGAGCTGTGCTGGAACCGTGATGAAAATTCCTTGAACCTTGTACAGATATATAATCGATGAGCTATACAAACCACAAGTGCAAAACGGATGGAACCCACATCCGTGGCTGGTGGCATGATGTCGGTTCGGAGATGAGGGTGGTAGTTGGTTGCGCTATGATGTCATAGTGTTCAACATGTTGTTTGCGAAAATAAGACAAATATAGACAAATGTGAAACAACATACTAAAAGAACATGTCCACACTCTGTACATGTAAACATACATAGTTCTTGCAACCTTGGGGTTTTAAATCTTTCAACAGACCGTATAGTTTTGTTGTTCCAAGTTCCAGTTCCATGAATGTGTTATACATATATTTATATGTGTGTGTGTGACGTTATTTAAGTTGAATACATACATGATCTAATTTGAATACATACAGAATATATAACTATACATTATATATATATGATTATATATAATATACAATATATATATGATTATATAATATGTGTGTATGTGAAACCAAGTGGCTTCTTGCCATGTTCTTTTCAGCGGTGCCCAGTCATTGTCCCCATTGTCGAGCTGGCGAGGTCAGAGTTGCTGGCTATACCAACGAAGAGCGTCTCAGTTGCACGGCGCTCCCATGATGGATCTGATGCGCCAGATTTTTTTTGGATCGGTTGATGTGCTTTGGATCATTTTGGATCATGGTTTCAAAATGGTTCAAACCAAAAAGAAAGAACATCAATATATTCAGACGATTTGAGAAGTTTTGGTGATGTTGAACTTCTTTGGGTCTTTGATTCCAGGATGTGGGGAGTATCTTAACCTATCTACTAGTAGGACTATGGGTCGAGATGGTCACCCCCGTGAACCCAATAGGACTTGTAGGAGACCATCCTGCTCACCCAGCCATTGGCTGAGTGAAAAGAGTTGTTGTGTTAGATCACGACCAATATACACAAACATACATGAAGATAGATAGATACTGTAGATAGATAGATTAGACTTGATTTGATTTGGTCTGATTTGATTAGATAGATGGATACATCTTCATATGCAAACACTTATACATATTGTAGGGCTTCGCACACCGGCCAAATAGCAACGACGGGGTCCCAGTTTTTGTTTGTACCCTAAAGGGTAGAAACAAAAAGATATATATTATGAGGACGGGGTCCCAGTAATTGTTTGTACCTTGTTATTATTGTTGTTGTTGTTGCTGTTGCTGCTGCCCCTGCAGCTTTTTTCTCAGTGGCCAAAAATCGTCAAATAGATGCTTTCACGTTTTGTTGAGACTCTCAGAGCAAGAAACACCGTAAATACCGATATTTTTTGCGCATCGGAAGCCCAAAACCACGGTATTTACGATGTGTTTGCTTTGGTAGCAAAAATCATGGTATTTACATGTATTTACCATGTTTTTTGGCCAGTCCCTAGCAAAAACTCCGGTATTTACACATTTTCCATACCAAAGGCACAAAAACATTGTAAAACGGACAAGAAACTAGCTGGCAGCCTCCATGCCTGAAAAACGCTGCCCTCACCACTCCAAAACAGCATGCCAGCACCCTATAATGCCTAACGTCCTTTCTGAAAGGACAAGAAGCTAAGTGAAGGACGGACAAGGCCCGCGGCCTGCAGCCTACAATGCCTAGCATAGCTTTCTGTACTGACGGACAAGAAACTAGCTCCAAATGGCAGCCTACATGCCTGAAAAATGCTGCCCTCACCACTCCGACACAGCATGCCAGTGAAGGATGGAGCCCGGCCTGGAGCCTAGAATGCCTAACGTTACTTTCTGTACGGACGGCAAGAAACTAGCTCCAAACCAGGCCTGAAAAACGCTGCCCTCGCCACTCCGAAAAGTGCCAGTGAAGGACGGAGAAGGCTTGCGGCCTGCGGCCTGCAGCCTATAATTTCCTATAATGCCTAACGTCGCTTTCAACGCTGCCCTCGCCACTCCAAAACAGCATGCCAGTGAAGGACGGAGCGGGTCCACGGCCTGCAGCCTACAGCCTGAAAAACGCTTGCCTTTGCCACTCCAAAACAGCATGCCAGTGAAGGACGGAGCGGGCCCACGGCCTGCAGCCTATAATGCCTAACGTATCCTAACGTCGCTTTGTGTACTGACGGACAAGAAACTAGCTCCAAATGGCAGCAGCCTCCATGCCTGAAAAACGCTGCCCTCACCACTCCGAAATCGCATGCCAGTGCAGGACGGCACTTACTGCTTGCAATCTGTTCTTTGAGGTGCACCCCCTTGCTGTCGGCGGGGGTCGGCGGATATATTCTTATTAATTCATATTAATTCTGCATGGGTCCAGCCTGGTTTAATGGATGCACCAGGATTCTGGAAGAACTCGAAGATTTGGCAAAGGGCAGTGATTGGGTCAACTGGAAGGCCGGAGACCGGCCCCAGATCTGAGAGCACCGATTCGAGTTTTTGTCGAGACGATCGCTGACCCAAAAACAGGAGGATACTCTAGTATCTAGTTTAATGATGTTTACTTTAGTGTATATTTGAATGGAGAACAGTAGTTTGAACAATGGGAACCTTTGACGTTTGTCTTTGCTTTTATTTTATGAGAAACGAAAACACATAATGAAATGTTTGTGGTCATTTTGTGGAATACGCAAAAAAGTAACAACTACAGATGATGTGATGGATAATTTCAACTGTTTGTTGGTGACCTGGCAGTTGAATGATTTATGTGCATTCCGATGTTTTGATGACAGGTGTGCGGTATTCTGAAATGGAGTTCAAGGAAACTAGACAAGACTTGCAGCAATGCCCTTAGGACACCAAAGATGTTGCCACGGAGTCCAAATCTGGTCCACAGGCAGGGGGGGCAGTCGCTTCAATGCATATTATGCTTGCTGTGCTTTCACGTTCTTTATTCCTGAATGCGGAGCGAAGGGTTCTCGTTTTCTTTGGGGTCTGAGGGTGGAGCTGTGTGTGCTTGACGCTGCTTTGCGATCGCAACCGTTCATGGTTAGCAACAGAAGCGGTCACTCTTGGAGGTTAGCAATGTCGTTTCGTGTGGCAAGCATCGCACTTCATGACATCCTAACATGTTTCATAATGTGTTGAAAGTCGTTCGGTGTGACCGGCGCAATATTTTTGCGAGGTTTTCAGAAGATGACTTGCATTTTTCGTGGGGCGCAGCACTTCGGACATGTCCATTTTCATTTTCCGTGCCAAGTGCAGCACTTTCTACGTGTGGTGTTGCGTGTTTTTTTGCAAATCGCATTGTCTGCCTGAAGTGGTGACGATGTGCACATTGCATGTGGGACATCGTGAGAGTGGTATTTTGTGTGGCGGGGGCATCGTTTGGTGAAGATCCGTCGTGTGTGGAATGTCGCAGTATTTGGGACACTCTACACTTTTCACTTTTCACTCAACATTTTACACCCCACACTCCACACTCTACACTTTACACTTCACACTTTACACTTGACACTCTACACTTTACACTCCACACTCTACACTTTACACTCCACACTCTACACTTTTCACTTTTCACTCAACATTTTACACTCCACACTCCACACTCTACACTTTACACTTCACACTTTACACTTGACACTCTACACTTTACACTCCACACCCTACACTTTTTACTCTTCACTCAACATTTTACACCCCACACTCCACACTCTACACTTTACACTTCACACTCTACACTTGACACTCTACACTTTAAACTCCGCACTCTGCACTTTACACTTCATACTCTTCACTCTACACTACACTGCACACTTTGCACTCACCACTCTACACTCCACACTCTACGCTTCACACTTTACACTCCACACTCTATACCTTAGACTCCACATCTACATGTCACACTGCATACTCTACACTCTACACTTTTCACTTCACACTCCACACTCGACACCCTACACTTTACACTGTACACTTTACAATTCACACTTTACACTTCACACTCTGCACTTTACACTCCACACTCTGCACTGTACACTCCACACTTTCCACTTGACACTCCACACTCTTCACTCTACATGTCACACTCCACACTACACATTGCATTCCACAGTCAACACTCCACACTCTTCATTGTCTTCACATTCCACACTTCGCACTCCACCCCATTCCACAGTCTACACTGGTACGGTAACAGGGGAAAAATGTGCAAGACTCTGTGTTTTACGTGACTGCATTCGGGTTCGTTGGTTTTGTTTTTTTTGAAACTGTTTGCCTATTTGCTGGCGAAAAAATGATAAAATTGCTGTGTCTGAATGTAGAGCACCCCAAATTCCAATGGTTTATTATTTTCCTGCATGTTCCATATCGAAATTACCATTTTTGGGGTATCCTTCTGGGCAACGCCGAAGTCCTGACAGGCTGAGTACAGACCCGTACAGCCAAAGGTGGAAGCTGCAGAAGCCGCAGATACAAAACCGGCAGAAGCCGCTGCGGACGCTGCAGAAACACCGGCTCCGGCTGAACCAGCCATGATTTCAGACGAGGTCACTGCGAAATTGGAGGAGCCGAGAACTGCGAGTATCAATTTTGCAAGGAAATTTCATTGGCTTGGGCAAAATTTTGGACTTGTACCTAATTTCGACACCCTGGCAGATTGAATCGTCATGGCCGCCATGGCAGGAGATGTTTGCTAGGATAGACGTGGACAAGAGCAATACAATTACAAAGGAAGAGGTCTGGTTGTGGGCACAATGGGGACTACTATCTATGGCATGGGGATTGTTGCAGGATGTTGCAAGGATGATTGTAATGGGATACAATATCATTGGAGAAAATAAAATATGTAGCGAACAATATGATGATGGTTTTCCTAAATTAATCCTTACATTTTCCACTGATTGAAAGACGAGGGGTCACCACATTTGAAAAAACTCCGGAGATTGTTGGCAAAGTTGTTGGGATGAGCTGCAGGAGTCATACAAATCAGCCATTGCTGCAAGAATAACATGTTCGATTGCTTATCAGGAGTTGTCCTACCTACCTAGTTTATTGGGGATTATTTTTAATCCATAGAAAAATGCATCAACCAACTAGGACAATCAGATGGGATAGAGGTTTTTCACATGGCTCAAGTAAGGTTGACTTGCCGAAATTTTCGAACCGCAGCCAGCACTTACCAGACGCATTGCCCACAGGATGCGTCTTTGATTGAGTCACACACATATATATATATATATATGTATATGTACGTATATATATTCCATACTATATACAATATATTATAATATAATATGCTCTAATATATATCATATTATATATATATTATTATATTATATTACAATATAGTATAATATAATATAATGTGATATAATATGATATAATATAATATAATTTAATATAATATAGCACAATATAATATAATATAATGCAATATACTCTACTATACTATAAATGATATAGGATGATATAATATACTGTACTACACTATAATATAAATAATCTATGATAATATGATATATATATATATATATGTACATATATTTATCATACGACGAACCAGGACAAGCCGCTTCATGCGAGTCCCCACGCCGGCCAGGCCATGAAATTCTTCACCAGTTTTTCCAAGGCACAGGACAGGGAAAATCCCACGTCCAAATGGTGGTTTTCATAGGGAAAACTATGGGAAAACCATGGGAGAATCCACTCTAAATGGAAATTCATCCAGAAATGAGGAGTTCTCCAGCTAGCCGTTGAGCTGATTGCCGGAGGGTACGTGGTGTAAAACAGTGAGTTTTAGTAGTGTCATCAGTGGTATTCAACAAGAACATATCACCCCAAGGATCATCAACAACAACAACAACAACAACGATCATAATTATATGATATGCTTCTAACAAAATCAACACATCTCTGTGATTGCCGGATCTGCCGGGCTGTGAAGAACATCCCCGTGATCGACTTGGTCGCAACGAGGTGAATACCAAAGCGTTCTTCGATGAGGTGGACGATGATCACAATGGACTCATTGCCAAGGAGCTGATGCCGGAGTTCCATGGAGTTCCATTCCCAGTGGGATGATCAGGATATCATGAAATATCTTGAAATATATGATGAGAGTGAGATCAACTAGACCCCTAACTCGGCCCAGAACAACATCCCCCAGAAACACTTGGGTGTAAGGAAAGCTCACCGCTGCCGCTATGGTTTCATAGAGGCTCACCCTGGCGGATTGCACCTTTTTCCCATTGGCCAGGACGAATTTATGGGTTTTTGGCAGCAGGTCCGAAATTCTGGCTACCAGAACGAAGAGTTGCTTGGCAGCAGGGGGGATTTCATTGATTTCACCGACATGTCGCGGGATTATCCTATCCAAGAGATGCATGCATATGATTTGTTCAGCAGACTTCATACCTCGCCAGCTGCAAGGATTTTGGAAGAGTTGGAAGATCTGGTGAAGGGTGGTGCTTGGGTGAATTGGGAGGTCGGATGTCGGACGATGCCCACCGGTTTGCCATGACAGAATCAAGCAGCTAATACCTCCGATGGTACTGCAAATTGTCCGTTTGTTTTTTTTGGTACTTCTCTTCTGAAGTGTTGCGGCTGATATATGCTCATATGTGGTGAACCGTGGTAAACCCGATAATAAACCTACCATTTGGGGGTGGTTTATTCTGCCACAACAATTACTTAAAAATGGTGATTGCGGTTGCGGTTTACCACATTAAAGATTCTTCGTTGATCCTTTCCGCCAGGACGGCAAAGAAGTAAGTGGCTGACGCACTTTCCGCTGATCTCTCGAGAGCTCTTTGGTTTTTGGCGAGCCCCCGTTGATGTGGCTAAGTCATGTCAGCGCAGGTTCGAGAGCTTCCCAGGACCTCACAGAATATTTTTCACCTCGATGGATGGATCAAAGTCGGTCCATCGTTTTTGCGAAAGACCAGGAATTGCCAAAGCAAAAGGCACGCATGATTTTTGAATATTTCTCTACATCACTAGGTGGGGTTCTAGTTTTTTGCTGGCTATCCGCCTTCTCCTCCTCCTCCTCCCGCCATCCTGCCTCATCCTCCCTCTGTATGACACTTGTGTATCAACTTCTCTCCATCATCACACTCCTCTTTAAAAGATTTAATCCCCAGCCCATAAAAAAAGTCGGGGGGCTGTACACCCCCTCAAAATATACATTTCCCGGTCTCGGAAACACGCTTTACGGGGAATTTATTTCATGCAAAAAATAATTATTTGAGTCAACGGGGGGGTACCTTCATAGCGCTTCTCTATGTCCCCCCTATTGCTTATGCATTTTAGGGGCTATTTAACCCTGGGAACTGCTACTATCTGCAACCCCCCATGTCTGTAGGTATCCCCAGGGATCCCCACAACCGGTGTAGAGACCATGCTGAGGAATACCTTTAGTTTGAAACTAGGAAAAATAGAAAAGGAAATACGATCTGAAGGACTATAAAATGTATATATAGGCAGAGAGGTAGATTGATATACCGCTCTGGAATCATCTACATATTACATAATATATATATATATATATATACATACATAATTATATATACATATTTATCCCCCCTTTTAACCCTGGAATATTTGGGGGGGTAAGGCAAGAAATTTCTGAGAAATATTTT